TGAGATCATTTGGCTCGTGTACTATGTTTGGAGAGAAAATTCTTGATTGCGAGTGGAAAAATTGGCTCTGAACGGAAAGATAAAAAGTGTAGGAGGAAAAGAAACAATATAAAAATAAGTTTCTAATAGAGTTCCAAAAAATTGTTTTCACATTTGGAGTTCGGATTTTAGGAAAATCTATTGTTTTCTTCATGAAAAACTTTTTGACAAGATTAAAATTGAAAAGAAATCCTAAAGTACAAAACAACAGATGTCTGGTGTTCAAATAGTCAAAAATCTAAATAGAAATGTGAGAAAAATTCTGGAGAAAATACTATCTTTATTATGACTGCTTTGAATGGCAGTATTGCAGTATTTCAACTAGAAAATCATTGAAAAAACTTTCCCATCACATAAATCTTAACTAGAATGAGTTTTATTGAGAACTCCATCAACTAGAAAAAGGTCAAAATCTGCAATTGCAATTAACTTGAAAGCTTTAAAGTCTAAAAGTTATACTGGTGCTGTTTGACACAGACCACAAAATTAAAATTGATGTTAGAAAATAAATGGCTATGAAATCACCAATCTATTATTTAAATATTTTCGACCTTTAAGGTAAGGTTATATCTATAATTGAGATTATTGCAGTTATCACAGAACATAAAATGTATTTTCAAATGACTTTTTGTCTAGTAACATGTTTTTTGAAACCGATCTATCAATGTCAGATGTTTTGTTACAAAAAAGATTTTCAACATGTTCAAAACTCACACTACAAAAATCGAAAAATATGCAATTAGAATTTGGAAGAGATCTTGGTTTTTAGTGAAAAATATATATTCAATAAACAAAAAGAAAGAAAACAAAAAGTGAGTCTGGAAGTTTCAAATTAACCATTTTCAACATGGGCGTTTTGAGAATGTTTTCAGAACTTATTTTTTAATCAAAATGAAAGTTATGACTACAAAACAATAGAACCTGAACTATTTTTTTCGAAATTGTCAACATTTTCCAAGACAATAATTTGGTGAGTCAGGAAAAAATAGTCTTGAAACTTATTTTTTCGCAACACACAAATTGGCAAAATCAGAAAATTCAAAATTTAATGACTGGATATCTATTTTCAGGCGAGAGTTCCAAGTCGGTGGATAAATTTTAAAGTTTTTTAAAGAAATAGACTTTAAAAAAAATAGACAAATTTTAAGCTACGGTTCAAAACAGGCCAAAATTACATTCTTTATACTATTTCGAACAAATTTGCAAAGAGATAATTTTCAAAACCTACTCTAAACCTTATTTGGAGCAAAATAAAGAAAAAAATTAAAAAAACCCTCGTTTGAAAATAAAAATAATTGCCGCGATTGTGTGAGCGCAATGTCACGCGGAGTCTCGTTGTTTTACTTTTATTGTTTCGTTTGTCAAAATCAACAAATGGGAAGATAAAAATAGGAAAAATCGAGCAAATTTATCGAAAGAAACACTTTACATATAATATAAGTGAACTGCAAATGCCTTGAGCCAAAACAAATCTGCAGTTTGTAGAAAATCAGAAATTTTGGGATAAATTCAGAAATCAGAATAAAATTAGTATCCTCGTTCCTAATCCTTCCTATCAAAATATAATCTCTCTGTCGAATTTCTCTCTTTAAACCTTTTCTTTATGAACCCTATGCAAAAAAAATTCCAAAAAAAACTCCGAAAAATTCGAGTCAAGTCATAAATATCCGTATATACATAAAAAGCCTTGAATATAAATGAGAAGAGTTATTTTCAAAAAATATGAAAACACTGACTATGAGTAAAAATTATCTGAAAAAATAAATGACTATGACTTATTCAGAGGAGAAGCCCAGATTATCGATGATTGAGTAGGTGTTTGGTATTCTCTTCATTTTTCTTCCACAAAAAAAATGAAAATTTCTGACAACTTGATCTTTAGAAGTGAATGAGTTGAAAAAACTATTATTTTTTGCTGGAAATGAAAAAATTCTGTAATGACTTTTGCTCGTTCGCAAGAAAAAATGATGAGCCCATTTTTACTAGACAATTAAATTTGAGATAATTATATGGATATATTTATTCCAGCTCAAAAACCAATGTACAATTATTCAAAATATATAGGGAAAAGCAACAGAACCCTCTCTCCCACCCACAAAGAAAAACAACAACGAAAAAACCAAATTATTCTAACAAGCCGATTAGGCATAGGTTTTTTTCTGGAGTACTCTGATTTGTTTTCTTGCTATTCTATTATTTTGTGTTTTGTTTTTTTTTCAAAAAAAAATGCTAGATAGATGAAAAATGAACTTATGAATGAGGGATTGGGGAGGGAGGGCGGATATTTTTGGTGCATATATAAATCAGAAAAACAGATAACAATAACAATTTATTTTGGGCATTACAGTACACCTTGCAGAAAAATAAAAGTTCAAACTGTTATTTTTTGATTCACGTCATAACTGTTTTTTGGGCGGATTGTTCACTCTAGGATTATTGAAACTTATCTCATGAAGTACTTGTGTAACAGCTGGAGTTATAGAAAATTTATTCTGTGAGGCTGCGACCTTTTTTGTTAATTTTTTTTTGGAAAAAAACAACGAGCTGAATAAAAGCGAGTCAATCAAAAAAAAATAAAAAGAACACTTCAAGAAAAATATCCTCAAAACAAAAACTACCGTAGCGTAGAATGTCATATATGCACACACAAAAAAAAGGTTAAAAAGGTAAACATGTTTATAGCTGACACCTACTTAAGAATATTGGACTTTTTACTCACTTTCATTGTCAATTAAACAAAAACAGGATTACGTATGTATGTAGAAACGACACCAGAAACCCGGAAAAAATAAAAAGACAAGACACTTGTTATTTTTCATATTTTTCGTTGACATTTGATATGTTTTATCACAAAAAAAGTTGTCTGGCGGGAGCAGGAACAAGTTGTTTTTCAACATTTTTTGGTTTTAAAATAAAATTTTTTTTCAAAGATAGGATAGGGTTCATTAAAAATGAATGGATCTTGTTTTTTTTGCCAATTTTCTGGGTATAATGTTAATTTTTCACATTCATGAATTGAGTTGAAAAACAAGGAAGTCGAAATGCATGAAAAGTACAAGGGATTTTTTCAGTTGTTTTTTACCTGTTTCTGTTTGAAAAAGCCATCTATAATACCAAATATCCTCTGTTTTCTAGAAAAAATTTAATTGTTTTTTAATTCGAGATTTCGAGCATCACATCCCAGTTTTTCAGAGGGCGGAATGGAAATGTTTTCAAAATCCACAAAAATTGTTTTGAACTTGACAAATCGACCCTGCTGATCAACGATGTCGAATCATAATTCGAAAATATTGCCTCTGAAATGAATTATAGTACCCAGTTCTATCTCCCAAAATAATTTTCAATCACAAATATCTCTGGTTCGCTTAAGTGTCATAGCACAATTTTCAATTTTTGGCAATGACTACTCACGAAGCAGTGATATTTATAGATCAAGTTGTGAATCATAGAAATATAGAAGTATTCAACTATACCTTCCCTGGTTCGCTTGAGTGTCATAGCTCGTTTGTGTTATCCGGCAAGGACTACCCACGAAGCAGGAAAGGTCTAGTTGAAAAATTATCAATATGATTAGTGAATAGAGATGGAATTGAATTAAATCATAAAAACTGCGAGGAGACACGGGGAACAAAATACTAGAATACTAGAATAATAACTTTTTCGATGATGGGTGGAGTTTGTTTTGGGCACGCGGGAAAATATGGACCGCCCAGCTCAACAGGTGCATTTACAATGGCTCCAAAAAAGGTGTTAGGGAAGATGGGAAAATGTGATATAACGACGCGCGCATTGCATGCACAAATCAATATTCACCCGCCTTTTTTGTACCCGTATGTATTTGCAAAAAAGTATAACAACACCTGCTATGATTTAAAAAAAGTGTGAGAAAGGATAAAGGTTTTTGTGGCTGCAATGGGGGGAAAATGTACTTTGTACATAATATATGATTATCACAGCAGGATGGAAGAATACGTCGCGGATTAGACATCTTCACCCATCAATAAAGATTGTTTGGATTATGTATATTCTTGTTCTTATATATTTTGTAGAGAATATGTGAAGAAATATGAAAGAAAGAATGAAGTAGAAATGATAACCAAAAATGTTTGATTGACATTTGTTCATAGAATCAAAATTATAAAAAACGCACGCAATTAATTTTACAACAAAAAATATCTGTTGATAAGAACAGCAATTGTGAGCGAATTGAATATTGAATGATTTTTATGGTTGTCTGAAAAATATCTATTCGAGAAATACAAAGGAATGCGAGTGAAATATAATTTGGAAAGTTGACAAAAGGGTTATTCAAAAGGAAAATTAAAAACAGTTCTAGGAATGTTAAAAAATTTGATGCAATTTTCGAATCGAAACTTTCTTGAAACATCACCCCTGGTTTTTTGGAATTTCTTTGTAGAATTGTGATGAAAATTCAGCCGATTCATCTGAAGAGTTTGTGATTCAGGCTCAAAATTCAAAACTTGATGTTCAAAATATATAATTTGATTTTCGCATTTTTCTAACAAAAAATCTCTTAAAATTTTCCATATTTTTTTTCCTATATTAAAGAACTTTGTCAACTATATTTAACAGAATTGAAAACACCAGGGCTTCAAAAAACGTCATGTTTTCGTTCAGAAAACATCATCTCTGATTTCTTCCGAGCAAATTCTCATGAAGTGTTATCTGCAAAAAAACAAAAAAAACGCAACTTCCTATGCACTCTCATTATTTTTCATATTCACTTGTTTTCCGGTGACGCACTCGATTTAATTATCAAACGCTATTTTTTCCACGAGCAGTTTCCAAGACATACAACTTTGTTTGGCTCAAAAATCGATCACGTCATTCTGAAGCAGTTATGAAGCCAAAAAAAAGAATAGATAAGATTCTTTGTCACCATAAAACGGGTATTAAAATGAAACAATATGTTCTGATAACATATTTCATTTCAATCGAAAATGGCCTCTCCAATTCTCAACCCAGTTAGTTCTTATTTATTTTGAATACATTTTCAAATTCCAAACTTTTAGGCAACCCCAGGATCATATGCTTTGCATAGCGCTGTCCAATCTGGACTCCAAATCAACTTTGCCGGACAAGTTGATCACAAGAAGAAGGATTTCGCTATCAACTTGGTTGCTGGAGGAAATATTGCTCTTCACATCAACTTCAGATTCGAGAAAACCAAGACTGTTGCCATGAATTCTCAAATCGGAAATGGATGGGGAAACGAGGTAATTTCCTAATAAAAAGTAGTAAAAGTGTTACTTATTTTTATTTAAAAATTTTTAGGTCCGTCACGATAACCCACTCCACCACGACAACACTTTCGAACTTCAAGTTCGTGTTTATCCAGGATATTTCCATGTCACCGTTAATGGAATTCTTCTCGCTGATTTCCCACATCGTCTTCCATATGAAAGTATTCAAGCAATCTCACTCGATGGACATGTTCACATGAAAGCCATTACTTTCACCCGCTTTGCCTAATTTTTTTCTTGCTCGAATTTTGATGAATCATATGAAGTTTTTCATTTTAAAAAATGTATAGAGCAGGTTGATATTGAAAGAAGAGAATTGACAAAAAATGCCCTGAGTCTGGAAGTTTTTTAATCGGATAAAAATATGGACCAGGTTCAATTTTTTTGAAAGAAATAAATGATTCAAAATTATCGGCCAAGTCTTCTATGATTACGTTTTTGTTCTGGCACATTTTTCACGAGATCAAACAACATTACATAATGATCACAATCATAAAGTTTATATTATTCTTCTCAATGCGAAACAATTCACGAGGCACCTTTTCGATAAGAAATTTGGAAAACATTCAACCAAAGAATATTCTTTTCTATCATTCCAGTGCCACGTAACCTCTCAATAATTGCAAATTTTCCAGTGAATTTCCAGTGCCACGTAACCTCTCAATAATTGCAAAAAAAAGATTTAGGAAGGAGAAAAAATTCCAAAGACTTGAAAATTTTCAAAAAAAAAAAGCTTAGGTTTGTATTGATAAGAATATTTCTTGCAGGAATTTGTAGATTGCTCAATGTTTCGAATTTTGTTTGTCTTATCAAATGACTAATTGATATACATTTGTCATCATTCAATAAACTATTTTGTCAGAATTATGATAAAAAGAGCAGGTGAAGAAATCACAACTATAAAAAAGATATTGATCAAAAAAGTTCTGATTTTTTTTTTCGCAATTTTTTTTCGAAAATTTCTTCATTCTCAAAAAAAACCATGAAAAAATGAGTTTTTTTTGAATGCTCAAAAATTACACCAGACAAAAAGCCAAAAATTAATTAAAATACGTCTCGAAAAGCATATATCTACATAAAATTAAAAAAGGACGTTTTTGTTAGTGTATCGAATAAATAAAACATAGTCCAAATTCCGTGACCCCTTTCTCATTTTTTTGTGCTCTGGCTTTTTGTGCAATTGCGAAAAGCTTGAAAAAGTACACCCAACACTTGTGGAATAGCAATAAAATGAATGAAACAGGGAGCGATAAAAGTTCTAATTTCAGCCGAAAAACTCTCACCTGCTTCTTCCTCTTTGTTGCGTTTTTGTTTTTTTTTCTGATAACTGACATTGAGAGAGAGAATAAGCGAGGTTCCCATAGTACCCAGTTATGTATTTTCATTTCTAATTTTCTTCATAATATTATTTTTATTTTGCTTTGTTTTACATATTCTTGAGTTTCGTTAATCAGATTTATTTTCACACATACGCTATAGATAAACTTCCGTTTTTTTTTCAAACACATCTGTGTTTGTTTCAAAAACCACGGCTTCTGAGAAAAATTAGAGTTCGATTCATGTCCCGGAATTTGTCCGAAAAAAAAAGACGAAAAATGACGAGCTTCGAATAATGATGAGCGAAAAAATGTTTCGATATGCATAGAAATTTTCTGAAAACGTAGTACACATATTTACATCAAAAAAATGCATTGTCACTTGGCTCAATTTTTCATCCCTCGCTAATCGAAAATTATACCTTTTTACCTTCCCTTCTTCCTTCCAACTTCATATTTTCGTATATTTATTCTCAAGCTTTTCCTTTTCCACCAATTTTCTTTTGTTTTCCTTGTTTTTTATTCAGCCATCTTCTCATACATGTCAGATTTTTTCAGACATATCTGAAAATGGCTGTTACTCCAGAAGATCCCTTCATTTATTTCACGTTAGGTGAGTGATAATTAAAAGAAAATGGAAAGAGGGAGAGAGGTACAGTAATCCAAAAGGAAAAAAACTTGATGGGAGGTCAGGCTGATTTGGTATTCAGAGAGAGATTGTTTTACGACTTTTTCTTTGTTTTTCTTTTCGAGTTTTGTTGATGGTTTTCTAAATTTAGATTTCAGAAAAAATTCTCAAATTTCAGAAAAAACATTCTCAGCGCTGCAAGATATCAATTCAGAATACTTTGTTATTATTCAGTTGAATATTTCGAAATGCAAAAATCTAATCCAAATCGATAATTTTGATAATTTCCCCTAACTTTGATTGATGTGTTTATCCAAAAAATGAAAAGTGAATTGTTGAAAAAAATTCAAAAAATTATTTTAAAAATGTGAATAAGATTTCAGCTATTTTGTGGAAAAATTTAAAAAATTCGGAACCCTAAATGTTGCTTTTTTTTGAAAAAAACTGAATTTTTATCTGATTTTGAATAGCATGGTTTTCTCATTTATAATGCTCGGCTTCTTTTTCCTCACCAAAACAATAAATCTCAGAACGTGCCAAAATTAAATTTTTGTGAAATCTTGAATCTGTTTTTTCGGCATTTTTTTTTTGAATTTCTACACAATTTGACATTCTCTGAGGGTCTTGAAGAGCAAAATGTTAGTTCTATCATATCTTATTGGTCTTCCAAAGCATTACATAATGCCATTTCCTTGAACTTCATACACGTTTCTCTGAATGAGAGATCAACTTTCAACTAATTCCTAATCCTACTTGTTCCTCCAAAATTTCGAAGAACCGCGCACGCGCAAAAATTCATCAAACCAGCAAAATGTCATTTCAAAAGATGACGACGAGAACACGCAAGAAAAACAGATGAAAATGGCGGGTATAAATAAATACATGGATATTTTGTGTTGGACAAAAAGACACAAGATGAATTTTCAATGATGGGTACATACATTTTCTCATTCTGATTCTCTATTTTCTTTTTGTTTTCCAACAAAAAATTCAACTGACACCATATTCTCTTCATTTTTTTGACCCCAAACAATAATAACCTCTCTTTTTTTCGCGAACACTTTTCAATGAAAAATGCATTATTCAATTTCCTATTTTTTCGGCGAGTCCGAAGAAAAATCCAAGTCATTCATTCATTCTATTTCAAATTTTTTTCTTTTTCAAAACTCATAAAAATCACAATGGAAACGGCAATTATTCGTTCCACATGTTCAATTAATCATAACGTTTTCTTTTTTTTGTTTTTTTTGTGGATGGCTCAAAGTTAAATTCCAGAAAGTGTATTTAGAATGTTAGGTGGATCTGCAGCTTCTTGTACACGTCCTTTACAAAAAGCGTTGATTCCTTTGGCGGTTACTGTACCTCCAGCAGCACTGTTCATTAGCGGCAGAACACGATCATTTAATAGTGGGTTACTGTGCTGAAAAAAGTTGAAAATTTTTTTTTCAAATTTTTTAAAATTTCAAGAAATAATTTATTTATATTTCAGAAGAAGAACTTGATACACAACCTGCTGTAGAACGTCACAAACCTCCAAGCATTGATGTTCTTTTTGAAAAAACAAAATTCTCCCGAAGCGAAATACAGTACCTCTACAGAACATTCAAAGAGGTAAGCCTGTTATTTTTTTTTTACTTTGAATTCTCAAACAAGGGATTTTTTTAAAGGTTTGGCCTAATGGAACAGTTGAGCTTGTTCAATTCCAATCAATTTATGCAGATATTTTCCCGGAAGGAAATTCGAAACCATATGCAGAATTAGTGTTTAGAAATATTGATCAGAGTCGAACGGGAAGCATCACATTTTTGGTGGGTTAAGGGATATTATGAAGGTTTTTTTTAAATAGTAGAGTAGGAAATGATAAGCAATACACATTCGAAAATATCAAAGAAGTTACTGGATCTGAAATTCAAAAATACATAGGTCCGAATTTTTTTAAAAATGTGTATTTATTCCCCACGCTGTACTTCGAGTTTGTAAATTTGATGTTTATTTTTCAGTATTTTTGAAAAAAAGTTATTTTGAAAAACAAAAAGGTTAAACTAAAGATCATGAACGAAGTTCGTTATCAAAATTGTATTTTAATGTTGTTTACAATACATTTTTGAAATTAAAAGATAAAAATAGTTTTTTTTTAATTTCAGCAAAAATGAAGATGTACAAACATATTTTTTTTCCTTACATTAGTGTTGAATTTCGTCTCACCATCACAAACTTCACAGTTCCCCCAACTCCAGAAACATTTATCCGACTTTTAAAAACTCAGAGTCGAGCCCCGAAAAAAAACCTGCCTCTGGCATTTTTCATTTTTTCTAGAAACATATTTGAGCACTGAAATTCTTTTATGCTGCTCAAAAATCTGCACATGTTTTCCATCTGCTAATCTGTGAAAAAACGTATTTTTTGCAGGATTTCGTAACAAGTTTCTCAAAAATTGCCAAAGGAACATTGGAAGAAAAATTGGACTGGATTTTCTCATTATATGATTCGAATTGCGTTGGTTATATTGGATATCAAGACATATACAATGTAGTCAAGTTTGTGTTTTTTTCGTGTTACATCGTTATTATCATCATCGTCATCAAAAAAAATTGTTGAGAAAATCACGTTCAAATACCACGTGACAATTTGAGACGCGAAAAATGAATTTAATCAAATTAGTATCAATTCTTATCAAATCTAGATTTCAAACAACTAATCTTCAAATATTTTTCAAAGACAAGCTTTTTGCAAAATTGTAGATTTCACTATGAAGAATTCTAAATTGAAAAATCTAACGTTTTCCAGATCGATGTATCAGTTGGTCGACGCAACTCTAAAACCAGCTGTCATCGCGACCATATGTCGACAACATGTCAAAATCGTTTTTAAAGTGACGAATTCTGTTTTCTGTCTTCCAGAAGCAAAATCAATTTTTTTCAGAATCTTCAAATTCAACAAGGTGGGCGTGTGAGTCGTCAAGAGTTTTTTGAGAAGTGTCAACAAAATTCCGAAATTATGGAGTCGTTTTCAATGTTTGGAACACTTATGAAAATGCAATGAATGATATTTATCTGAAGTTTTCTTTAGAATAAAGTTTTAATGATCTTTGTATACATTTGAAAAAAAGTTTTATATCACTAATATATGAATTTTTACAGAAAAAATGATAAGTATGAGTAAAAATCATAATAATAATAATAATTGGTATAATAATCTATATTTTATCTCGTCAAAGGCAATAAATTTGTCGATGGTTTTTTATGAGTGAAAAAAACAAACAATTCTGGGTGCATAAATTGAGCAAATTTCGAAAAATATTGTGGGGGTGAAAAGGGTGTTAGTTATGATTGATTGGGGACTATTGTATATGCAGATTATTCGACATGAGAATAACAAAAAAAAAGAAAAGAAAAGAAAATCATCACATTTCTAAAACTAATGACCGTTTAAATATAACCAAGAAAAAATGGTGTCCGACAAAAATGCGGATAAAATCGAAGGACCTGTATTCATCAGCCGATTATGAGCAGTTCAAAAAAACACACACACAAAAAAGGGGATCCCAAAATTCCTTTCAGGAAAAATTGGGAAAAAATGAATCTCATTGTTTGTTGTATCTATACCGGACTAGATATACCCTATAAGTAGAATAAAACGACAAAAAATGGCAAGCAGTTCACAAAAAAATATGGCAAAAAGAGAAAACAAAATTCGAAGGGTTTGTAATAGGGTGGCAGGACACGTTTCGTTTTGTTTCGGGAAAAAAATGAAAATGTAGGCTAATAAGAGAAGAAAAAGAAAAACTATATACTGTGAGTTGTCTTAAATACAAATAAAATCTTGTTGAGAAGTTTGGAAGTTGTTTACCAGTATGGACCAGCCGTACTCAAATTTTTCCATGACGCAAATTTACCCCATTCGGTGTAATCCAATTTGTAAGCGTCGTCGTGATCAAGGTAACGTTGGCTGGAAAATGTTAGGGTTTTTTTTTGGTCAAACTTTGAGATGTCCTTACCTTCCGAAAAGTGATCCTCTGCGCGATGGAGTTTGTGGCTGCTCACATTGGAGCACATAATTGCTACCCGAGTTTGAATCCCAGTATTCTGTGCCACCGGCTTTGAAGCATACACAGAATTCGATTTTGTGAATCTGGAAAATAGGAGGGAATATATTGGGAAGCAGGTTTGAACTTCAGGATAAAAAACAAGCAAAATTTCGGATCAGAGTTTTTAGAGTGCAGTTCAGAATTTGATTTTTTTTTAGATTTCATTATCTGACCAACCTTATCAACAGAAGATGGAAGATCCAATTCAAACTTGAAAGTGTCATACAATTTACTAGTCGATGGTTGAAATTGCGCAGCTTTATCCATATAAGACGCCCAGCCATTCATAGTGTAGCGAATGAAAACCGATTTTTCAAACGAGATATTGCTCACTTTGATAGTTCCAATAATTTTGTAGCTTTCACTATTCACAATCACATTTTCCAAGCTCACTTTGTTCTAAAATTCAAATTTCATTCAAGGTTTATTGGGATAAAAACAAAACCTACATTCTCCAAATTCTCTCTGAACTTGATATATTCAGCAGCTGGTTGTTTGAAAAGTGTTGTCCAAATTGGCGCCGGTTCATGCGATGCTTTATCCTCATCAAATGAGTCTCCTCGATATCTGCGAATCACTGATGGGCTCAATTTTGGGGGACAATCGCTCGGCTCGCTGGCAACTTTGACAATGAATAATGCTTTTCCACAATCATCGGCAAATTTCACACATTTTCGTGCTTTTTTCACGTCTTCAACGACGGCTTCTTCGATTTCGAGCGGCCCTGCACAAAACACGTCTTGATCGTCGGCGTCGCAATCACTGCTTGATGAACTGTGTGACTGATAGTCGCTTCCCTCGTCTAGAAAGTGATAATTGATTGGGAGGTTTTCAGCAAAAAATATACAAATTATAAAAAAAAATTCTGCACTGTATTTATTAGAATTATTTGATTTTTGAAAATTTGTTATTGAAATTACAAGAAGCCCTAGGGATTCAAAACACTTTTCAAAACCCCTTGATTATTTTTCACTCACCATTTTCTTTGATGACTGTTTTGCACATTCGATTTCTCATTGTCGCATCAAATGACTTTATCGGATTCATTCGCATTTTATTCAGCCCTTCAGATTCACTTTGTGAACGAACCTGCAAAACTTTCATCTTTAAAAAATATTTATTTATTTTCAACGCTTTTTTTATCAACCAACAAAAGTAATCCCGTCGATTTTTGAACTTTTGATCGCTCTTTGAAAAAATAAAGAAAAGAGAATAACATTCTCTCTCGCTCTCTTTTATTCTAACACTATTTCGCATGGATGGAGCTGGAGACGAAGCTCTATTTTTTGTGCTTTTTTCTTCGTATGTGCTTTTTTGCACGTTGCACATGGCTTTACATGTATGTGTTTTTTATACTGAACAATATGGGAGGTTTTGAGGAGAGTTTGGATAAATAAAATTTTGAAGAGTGGGAAAAGATTTTCAAGAAAAAAAGGTAAAAATTACTAATAAAAAAGTTCAATTTTTTCCTATAAAACATAAAAACTGATACTGAAAGCTTAGCTGACCAATACTGATAAGAAAAAATATGAAAAACAATTTTTTTGACATTAAGTTGTTAGATAAAGCTTCAAAGAAACGTGGGCAAATGTCATTTTTGACAGGTTTACTTTTAAAAATTGGCTGAAAATATTGAAATTTTAAGGTTCTTGTTTACTTGAGAAAAAACGTCTGCAAATTTACGTCAGAATTTTCAATTGAACTAGTCCAAGAGAAATACAAACAAATAAATCTATCAATTCAGTACAAGTTCTTTAAAAGATAAACTCACTTTAAGACTACTTGGCTGAATAGCAGTATCACCGAAAAACGGAAAACTTGCAGCTCTGCGACATCCCGATGACAATACTGCAAATGAAGCCGGCGCCGAGTGTGCAGCACATGTCTCCCATTCTCGTTCGCGCCCCATTTCCATCGGCTTCCTGAAATATTTATACAAATTTTCATTAAAAATTCTGGAAGTTGTTCAAGAAATGATATATACCCAAAGAGTCGAGATTTAACCTCACGATAAGTCTCGTCCATATCAATAATATGATCAACTAGCATAGATAAAGAGAATCCCATATTTTAGAGAACGAATAGAGAAAATAGAATGCGAGAAAAAGTTGGAGGAGGACGCAAAAAAATAGAAAGAGGATTGAAAAAAAGCAGCACACATAAATGGAAAAAACGACGCTCGAGAAAAAAGAAACAACTAGAAAAAACACAAGAAAGTCACGTTCGCCCCCCTGAAAATAGGGTGGTCCAGGGTGGGGTGAAGAAGTTTTCAACAGCTGTTGATCTTTTGATTTTTATGCAAATTGAAAATCTCTCAAGTGATCAGGAAAAAATAGCACAAAGAATTTTGAAAAAAAAATGAAAAATAAGAAAGTTCAGGCCAAACAGGTGCCGAAAAACGCTTGGAACCCATCAACTAGAAAAAACTAGCGACAAAAAAATAGGAGCAGATGAATAGAGTTATTTTCTTTTTCTCTCTCACTATGTTTTTTCAGAGAAATGAATATTTATTTGAATCATGTTTATTGATTTTCAATTTTATTTTTTCTGGGCTAAACCAAAGATAAAGGTCTGGTCTTATTCAAAATAAATACATAAATCAAATCATATGAAATTGGAGCGAGATGAGATGGCGCGAAAAAATCATACGTGAAAAACAGAAAAACGATGGGTTTTACACACTTTTTTGTGTTGTCTGTTTTGTTATCAAAAATATATATATTGGAGAAAAAAAGAAATTAACAAATACATAAACAAATGTTGTTTTGTTTTGTTTTCATCAATCAAAATCACGTGGTAACTGTTTTGTGTGTTATCAAACAAATGAATACGAAAATCAAAAAGAAAATCTGAGTCTACGCATCTTGCGGAGGTGGTAGCACTTGTCAACTTTTGCAGCGAACACTCGATCCCCAGCTGACACTTACGAGAGCGCAAAGAACTCTCTTTCTAGTTATTCATGTAGATAAAAAATCGAGATACCGGAACATTTTTTTCAGAAAGAAAAAAAATTCAAAAAAAATCAGCACATGATGCGCGTAATCCAATTCTTCTCTCTGCTCATCCTTTTTTTTTCAAAAAAAGGCAAGAAGAAAAAAAAAGCTAAACTAGAAAAAAATGTCGAGACAAACCTAATGAGCATCAAAAGTAAATATACTTAATGTTAGCTTCACAGAAAACAAATAAAACCTCAAGAAAATAGTTTGAAAATAATGTTATTTTAATTAATTAATTAATTAATCATAATAAAATTAAAAATTAAAATCGAAAAAAATCACCCCCTATCACGATATCGATAAAAATATGTGAAAGAGAGGGGGGTAAAGGGGAACGAGGAGAGAGGCGGAGATAGACAACCCCTTTTGCCCCCTTTTTTTGTGTGTTTCTTCTTTTTCTTCTCAACAATTTTTTTTGTTCGTCGTTTTCTATCTATCTATAATAATAATAAGTCTCCTCCCGCCTGTTGTAAGTAGATAGATAGAATGCGAAAAGATGAGAAGAAAACGAGGAAAACGTTTCATTTTCACGTGAATATCTCTTTCTGCAAAGACAAGAAAAAACGATGGTGTGTCCCAACCCCAGAATGAACCTTGCAAATCAGATTGTGCGTACTCAGTCAGTCGCGTGTTTGTGTTTGCTTATCGTTCTATCAGAAATGAGATGCACACGGTGTGCACGTGAATAATGTTTTATATTGATATTTGATTTATTTTTAAATACACACACATGTGAATGTTTTTTGTGTCGGCGGCAAGCTGCAAGGAATTCCCGAGAAAATTTCGGGAAAAATTGAGAGGAAAACTAGAGAAAATTTGAAATAAAAAGAAGAATTAGAGAATTTGCAAACACCGGAAACTGAAATATCTTAACTCCAAACTTCAAGTAATGAAGTTCCTGAATCCAGTTATAACAAAAAAAACTTATTTTGAAGAGCTAGGACTAGGAGAAAATTGGACTTACAGGCCGAAATCGGTCTAGAAAAATTACATTTAAAAATTTGTTTCTTATCAAAAGATTAGTCAAGATTCCAGTGAAACAAAACTTTGGAAAATCAGGTCTAGAATATATGTAGGAAAAACTAAAACTAGCTACAAAATAGCCAAAAAAAACCAGGAAATTGGAATTATTCGGAAGTGGTCTAAAAAATTGGAATTCCAAAGAATTTCCGGAAATAACATATTTCTTGACTATCATCATCCTGAATTCAACATGATTCAGAATTTGAAAATTTGAAGCCTCGGACAAGATCTTTGAACTTCCCCTAATTGATGAGCAGATTTTTGTGAAAAGAAAAATAACAAAAAGTTTTTTCTGGTTGACACCGCAAGGGTTCAAGTTTCAAGAGTCAAAAAATCATCCAAGACAAGAAAGTGCTTGTCAGCAAGTTTTTCGATAAAACCTGAAGGTTTTCTGATTTACAATCGGGAAGTTGTGCTAAATAAGAACTACGGGGTTAAAAAATACGAACGTTAAAATCGCCAAAACCAAAAACATTTTCAAAGATAAAGAAACTACACTAAACTCAATTGGTCTTTTTCTCTCTTGATCAAAAAATCTGTACTGAATTTCATTATCAACAGTATCTATGAATTGATTTATGGAAGGAACCAAAACACTTCAAAATTCTTTCTATTTTCGAAAACATTGGGATAAATATGAAAAAAATCGTTGAAAAAATTTATGGCGGGAAAAAACCAATGAAATGATTCATTCAAATTGAAAAAAAAGTTGTGCATTAGAGCGCGTTTTTGTCTTTTGTTTGAAATCATGTATTGTGTAAGAAAACTAGGGTTAAGTTTATATGAAACCACTTTTTAAGCCGAAACTTTCAAGATTCCCTATTGGTACATGGTCAGATTACTTGAACAAACATAATCTATGCAAAAGGTTTCTGTAACTTCAGGGGAACATGTGCTAACTTAATAAAAATAAGGTGCTCCTCACACTTTTCGAAAGTTTTTTTTTAAAATTTATTTAGGTATTCCCAACCCTTTTGAATAAGAATGGCATAAAAATGAATTTATTTGAAACTAAATTTGAGGATGAAACTAAAACGCCTCAATCTATCTCATGAAAAAAATTCGTAAGATACAACTGACAAAACAGAGAATTGTCAAAAATCAATGCTGGAAGAACCATGACTCAAATAATAATTCTTCAAAAAAGAATACAATTTTCTAATAAAAATGACGCCAAAAAATGAATCAGAGAAATCAAAAAAAAAAAGAAAACAAATAAACAAAAAGAAACAAATACAAATATGCATACTAATAAAAAACGCGCGCACAACAGAGAACACACAAACATATTGCACTCTTCTCACCAAACTAGAGACTAGTATCGATTGCACACCAAAAGAAGTTTGGGAAATTGCCAAAAGTCACGCGTTTTGTTTTTTTGCAATTTTTTTTTTGAAAATATTTATCAATTTAAGAATGCGTAGTTTGAGTTGAGTTGGAAGTTGGCCAATTAAACTTGTTTTGTTTTGATAAAGTGGTGTGAGTTGCCAAAAAGAAAAAAATTGTATTGAAAAACATAACGATTACGGTAGCAAAAGTGCATTGGTTGCATTTTTTGCTGCTGTTGAAAACAATCTGATTATCTATCATTCGTTTTTGTTCGGGGGTTCCATATTTTAATGCGTTTTTCTAAATGTGAGTGAGATAAGGTAGTTAGCATCGGGTGACAGCAGTTCAAATAAGAATAAAATGCAATTAGATGTTTTTATGTGAAGTTAGGTGTGATAAAATGAGGCGATTCTCAGAGAATGTTTGTTATTTTTGTCAAGTTGCATGATATTTTTCAAAAAGTGCAAGTAATCTTCGTATTTTTTGTTTCTCCTTCCTTATTTTTTTTTGTTTTTGTAAACAAACAAAAATGCACTTATTCTACCAAAGTTCTATTTTATTTATCGAAAGATCAATCAATTGATCTAGTCTTGCTTGCAAATCAAACAATTTTCTGTTGATTAGAAAACATCTTAAACTTAACGAAAAAAATGAAAATTAATTTAAAGTGACACATTTTTCTTTTCTAGAAAGATTTTCGATCATTGCGGTGTCAAAGTACATTTAACTCTTTTTCAACTATAAGAACAAATAAAGAGTCAATCTCAAACTATTCTTTCTTCTTTTTCCCATATTTTTACAGTACCCTTCAGCCAATCAGAATTATTATGAACTATCTGAAAGATATTTTTTCTCACGAGGAGTTTTATTGATATCTGGTATTTTAAATTGTGCAAACATTTATCAAAGAGTTTCACGTGAAAAGTAAATAACTTTTTGTTTCACATGAGTAAAAATACCTTCTGCCTGCTATAAAGTGTATCTTCTCAATAGTCGAGAAAAAAGTACGAAAAAATACTTAAACAACACATGTTTCAAAAAATTATCTCACGTGAATGTTTTTGAAAATGTTGTACATTCGCGCTCAAAGAACGTGAAGCTATCACGTGAATGAATGAGGCAATAAAAATGTGTTATTTTTCTGCAAAATCAAATGCATTCAAATAAATCTTACGGGAAAAAGGAAAAGGAGAAGAAGATGGTAATGGTTTTTGATCGAAATTTTGAGAGTCGTAAAAATGTAGATGTTTACGAAGAAAAAATGGCAGAATGTATGTGTACGGTCGCTTTTTTTGGTGGAGATAATTAAATTGCTGCAGATAGAGAACTCGATGTTTGCAAGAACTGGGGTTCTAAAAAATGTAGGAATGTCTAGAGACTCTGGATGAATGAGATATGATTTCGAGTTACCCGAAACTTCTATAAATTGAATCTTTATAAAAATAATTATGAAAGGAAAGTTTTTAATCCTCAAATTAATAGCAGTCACCATTGCTAGAAGTTATCGTTAAAACTAGCACCTGACTTTTTTGGAACTTATCTATTTGAGATGATGGAAAAATTCATAGAGATATATTCTCAAATAAGTTTTTGAAGACTGTAATCTCAAGACATCTCACAAGACTCTAAAAAATCAAAAAACCATTTCACCCAATTGATTGAACGTTTTCTGATACCAACATCAAAAATGCTACTGTAGTTCCCGGAAAACATTATTTTTCACCCAATTTTTTCTATTTCCAGATGATATACCTTTTCCAGGTATACATCAATCTTATGGATGCGCAATCAATCAAAAATCTTGACAAGTTCCCGATTATCTATGGAACTTTTTTGAAGCGAGATTGATTTGATATATTTTTGTACAAAACACTTCTCCGAATTATTAGAAAGAATTCTTCTTTTCACAGAATGAAAAAAATCAGTATTTTATAGCAAAGAAATAAGGTTTGTCTTTCAAATAGCACAAGCACAAACATTGTTTTGCTCTTTCTCAATTGAAAAACTCAAAGAGCACATTTTTTTCTTTTTCATCAACAAATAACAAAACAATTTATCTTTTCAGTGTTTTGATGCAAAGCAAGTGATTTTGTTGATAATAAACAAGAATTTTTTACTATTTTTGTCAACAAAGTTCAAAAAATCAAGTTCTCTGATCAGATCTTGAAATCAAACAAAATCAATTGAAGAAGAGGACAAAAATAGATATACGGATTCTTGTTGTTGTTCATTTATTTTTTTTCATCTGCAGAACATTCATTCTCTCATTGATTGATAAGGTTGTTATTCAGAAGACACGTTTGTTTCTTCGTTTATTCAATCATTTCAAACCCTTTTGTAGGGGTCATTGTAGAAATGTATGTATGAAAGAAAACTTGAGAAACAACGGGAAAAAATGATACAGTATCACTTGTTTACGTTTTTCTTGCTACATATTCTATGAAAATTGTTCGATGACAACGACAAGAAAAATCGAAAATGAAACAGTTTTTATAGCCACACATAATTGTTTGATGTAAACATTTTTGCAATCTTCATCATTTGTACTTTAGTCAGTTTTTGTGATAGAACGGGACTGATCACATGATTTTTAGTCAATAGTATAGCTGTCAAACTAGACAAATGAAAATGCAGAAAAAAAGAAGGACACTAGTCACAGTATATCTTAAAACAAATCAGAAATATCAGAACAAACATTGTACATCTGAAGTGTGATTTCTGAATGTGAGACATCAATAGTTGGAAACTGTTTGATAGGATCCAAATCAAATATGAATTGGATATTTAAGAAAAACGACACAGTTTATAGAAATGTCGAAAACTCAATTTTCCCAAACAATAATTTTGTATATTTTTAGCTACACGTTGTAGTTTCTACCATACTATTCTATCAAATTAAAATTTCTTTCTCAAAATTTTGCAACATGTCAAAAAGAAAAAGAACACGTTATCGGTCTTTTTGATGTTATTTTTTTTCAAATTTCCCAGAAAAATCGTGCGACCACAAACTGTTTTTCTTCTATCAATCTGATTGTTGTCTATTATCAAAAATGTTCTCGTTTTTCTATCTTTTCAACTGTGTTTTCTACGAAGAGCAAGCAATCAGTGTTGTATTTTCATCATCATTCAAACTGATAAGATCAACAACGATTGGTTTTTATTTATACACATGTTTACAACACGTGTGCAACACGTGCAAATACAATTGGACAATTTTGCAGAGATAAATGGGGTGAGGAGGAACGTTGTTTGCTGGCTAGTTTGTTGGGCGCTTTTCAATTATGTGCGATCATTGATCAGAGAAGATCACAAATTAGAAAATATCAGTTTGATAATGTTTCTTGTTTCGTGCAAGACATATCGAAACTAGAGTGTAATGTTTTGGGGATGGGCTTTTGGAGATAAACAAAAAAATGCCCTTTGTAGTTTTTGTCAATTTCAGAAAGAAAGTGGTGCTTAAAATTGCCAAAATGTGAAATTTTTAGTTCAAGTGCAAAAAAATCATACAAAAATCAAAATCTTCAAGTATTACGAAAAATGACGATATTTTCTTATATTTTCTGTCTGATACTACTTCAAAATGTGATCTTTTCATTGCCAACAATCCATTTCACAGTACATATGTTTACAGTACAGGTCTCACCCCTGGACAACGACTATCGAACAATTTTGTACAGTGAAGATTATTAAATCGAAAAGAATGTGCAGTATGAATCTGTGATTTTTGCAAGTTTTTCATTTAAAAAACCGCTGCACATCGAAAACTACAGTTTTGTGAATAGAATTCATGTATTTTTGGGCATATCATAGTTTCAAGCCTAATTGAATATATTCTTGTTTTCATAAAAATTTTCGAGGACAAACAGAATGAGAAAAAACAGAGTTCGCTCAAACGCTATGGTTGTTCTTTGGTAGATATCAAAATTTGAAGTATTATAAATCATAAATTAATCACGCCCAACACACTATCTCCCCATTGTGGAACATGGATCAACCATATTGAAATGGAAATGGATATTTATTTATTCATTGAAATACGTTTGGTGGAAAACGTGAAAAAAACATATGGAAAACAGGTAAATATATTTTTAAATACTTACGCTATATCTAAAAAGTCCATCCGATATTTGTTTTGTTTTAGAAAATAAAATACTGAAACGACTGGATCATATGATTTCTTTTATATTATGTCAGACTGTTTTGACCATCAATTATGAAATAAAAAATAAGTGCAACAAATTGTGCCAATTTTCAACGCTTTTTTGTCACTGCCTTTTGCAAAATGTCTGGTTAAAATGATTTATTATGCAATAAAAAAGTTATTTTGAATAAGTTGAACAATTGGGAGATAACTTAAGATTAATTTTGAAATGAAAATGGAACATGAATCGAGAAAACTTGGGTTGGAAAATATGGGAGCTTTTGAGCTCAACTGAAAAAAAAGTGAAGTAGATGAGATGAAATTTCAACATTGAAAATTTGAAAAAGAAATATTTGAAATTCAAAAGGCATTTAGAACCGGCGAAGAAAGAAGAATTGAATTTTGAAAGAAGAATTATTTTGGGGTTTTTGGAAAATTTTTAGAATTGGTTGGAAAATATAAAAACTTGGCAGCAATTTTTGGAAGTTCAAAATGAATGGGGGAGACGTTGGAGCTTGAATTTGAAAAATGTTAATGTTTTTGAGCCACGGGGCAATTGAGAAAAACCGGTGAAGATAAACTGGATGTGATTTCAAAAAATTGAAAAAAAAACTGGGGTGTTTGAAAAAGTTGATAGGAAAATCATAAAACAATTAAAAATGAAGAATAGTAAAAGAAGACACATTTATTGGGGCGGTGGTTGAAAAAAGGGCGAATCAGGGCGATGTTGACTGTCAGCATTGTCGCCGAATTCCATTTGTTCTGAAAAATTGTTATGAATTATTTTTCTAAATATCAAGACAAGACAAGCTTACGTTAATTTCCGTTTTCTCCTTGATTATCTTGTTGATTTGGTTGGTTGTTGTGAATTTGGCCAACATCAATTTGGGGTATCAAAAGTTCTGGAAAAATTTGATTTAGTACATTTTATTTGCAAATTTGAAACATACCTCCCGAAGGTCCATATCGTAATAATTCCAAGTTAAGCGGTTGTGACAATAACGCTCTCACTGAAAAATACATATTGTGGTTACTAATCACGAAATAAACAAAATTCACTTACCTCCCGGGCTCATAGTGCGAAGTAAAGTCAACACAAATTGTGTTGAATCCATTACTGGTAGTTGTGGCATTTCTGAAATATTTCAGTTTGAAAAATCGTTTCTGTTTCACATTAAAAAACGAACGTGAATGAACTTGTGGTGGCTCAAAAAAGTTCTGTGGAAGTTCTGGGAGAAGAAGCGGCAATTGCGGATCCGGTGTGATTTGTTCTTGAGCCGACGTTGTTGGTGGGATTTCTGGGTTGAAGACTTGAGAACATGTGGACTCGTTTTGTTTGATGAGCTTTTCAGAAAACGATGTTGATGTCGACGGAACATCAATTTGTTCGGCGTCATTTTGATGTGACCGCTCTGAATAAAACATGCATTAGGTTTCATGCAACATTTTTCCTAATAGTTTTCTAGGAAAGTTAGAGAAACAAATGTCTTCGAATATGTTTTGATTTTTGGGTAGAAGATGTTTTCAAAAAAAAAATTGTCTTGAATTTTTTTCTGAAAAGAATGTCGAATATTGAAAAAACTAACCATCTTGTGAAAACTTGGGCGGAAATAATATGTTCGCAATGTGAAACGGATTGCTACGCAAGCAAGCTGCTGGATCCAATGTATTTTGTTCAAGTGTTTCAACCACAAGGTGGTTGAAATCATGAGCTAGAACCCCAACAGCTTCTCCTTCTCCTCCAATATTTGCACTCATATCAGCTTCGTCAACCTCTTCAATCTCTGGATTCTCCAATTTCACATTTATTTCTGGAGCCTCAACATTTTCTTCAATCGATTCATTAGAATCTTCATCAAAAGGTTCAGCAATTTCTTCTTCTCCATCATCCAGTATTTCTCTTTTTACTTCAATTTCTTGGTGATCCAAATTCACTTCAATTTCGTGAACTGGTGATTTTTCGTTTTTTTCATCCTCTGTGGTTTCTGCAGTTTCTTGAAGTTGGCCAGTTTCAACGGAACTTTCTTGAATTTCTTGTTCCGCCAACCACTCGGCCAGGGTCTCGACTTCTGGAACTTGGTCATATTCAGAAGTCCCAAGCTCTTCTTCTCCTTGAAGTTGTATATTTTCTTCAATCCGATTTTCAACGATCTGTTCATCACTTTGAGCCGACGTTCCTTAAAAAAGCAAAAATATTGACTACAAGAATAGTTTTTACTCAAATCACCTTGGCGATCTTCACTATAATTGAACTTTTTTCGCTTTCTCAACCAATAATTAGTTCCTGGCGGAAAATCAGTTTGAGGCTCGTAATCCGGATCTTCTTGTACTTGATTTCGTTTATATCTTCTTTTTGGTGGTTTTTCTGTAAGTTCCTCCTTATGATAAAAAAGATAGAAAGTACATTGAAAATTGGTATAATTTCTGTGTCTATGGACATGTTTTTGAATACATAAAATGTAGGATGCCTGGATTTTTCATTTTATGAAATACATAAAAAAAGTATCTAGCAGTCAAGTGATTTTTGGAAAAGTGCGGATATTTTTGAAAACGCCTGAAATTTTCCAAAAAAAAAAAAATTCTCTAAACTTCAAGACTTTTATGGAACTTTTTTTCGCGTTATTACAAGAAACAGTTTAATCAAGATAACTACATCAGGATTATGAAGACTTTTCAAAAACAAGAGATACAGTCTCATAGAACCCGACGCGTCAATCACGATGCTGTATGAATTAGATTGTAAACTGAAAATTATGATGAATAATAGTTGTTTTCAGCTTATAAGGCTCATTTTTAGCTACCCAGGAAACTCAGCAGCTAAGTTTTACGCATCGGTTTTCCATAGAATTTGTTATTTTTCAGAATCTCTTATCACCTCATCCAGGTGTAAATTTGAGAATATACTTTAACAATCAAAAAGCAACTCACCGAGGGTTACTGCAGCACTGTTTTTTTCAACATAGTTATCGAATTGGGAAGAATTGTAGTTTTTCACCTGATTGACCGATAGATTCATAAAAGCATAGAGAAAGTTCTTGATGTCTATTTTTCCATCTTTGACAGTTTTTTGCGCGACTGTGGTAAGAAGTCTTTCATAAACATGGTCTACGACATCCAAAACGTCCACATCATCTTCGGTCGATGGACGGAACTCTTTAATTTTTCCATTGTCCAATTCAATTATATACCACACTTTCTCAAATCGAAAGCATTTCGAATTGCTCATGGCGTTGTTTCAGGGTTTTGTTTGTTTTTTGCAAAAACAAAGATTACCTGTAAAAATCAATTTTCGAAATGAAATAAAGGAGCAGAAAGATATACAGTAAATAGCAGAATCCATGAAAAAAATGACTGGAACTAAACAGTGGTATTCTCAAAGTCTATAACTGAATCAATGAAATTCAAGCAAGACCTTTCTCTAGAGAGGTTAGCAAAATCAATATCTGATAAAAATGGTGGAGAAATATGTATCTAACCTATGGAAAATACAGAATAGATCAATGAGTTCCTATTCTAGTTTTAAGATTCACTTGCACTAATCAACTTAAGATTGACCTGAACTACTAACGTTGTATCTTCCCTATACAAAACATTTCAGACTCCCAGACCAAAAAAAAGAGACAAGAAAAAATTGTTCAAAGATATCAAAACATAAAAACAAAAAGAAAATGCCGATAGCAACCATTGAACAATTCGACTCTGTCTGTCACAAAAAACAACATAAAGCGGGCAAATAGGAGAGGATAAGAAGTCCAAGCCAACAAAAAATGAAACAACCACAGGCAAACCAGCAAAAATACAGACTGGCAACAGAATCTGACTCCGCCCATCGCAAAACAAAATACAACGGAAAGATAGGAGGGCATAGATGGCTAGCATGAGTCATGGTGTGCAGAGGAACAGAAGTAAGCAAGAACATATGTATCATTCTCCACGATAGTAAAAGGAAGACACCTGGTAGAACGAAGCCTTGAATTTTTGAGCAGTCAAACCAGAACTTTTTGAGAAGAACATTTCGTGATATCGGTACAGCTAGACCTTGGTCACGTTTGAGAAAAGTGTAAAAACTGAAATCTCTAATTTCCTGTTAGAACAAAGTCAAACTATTAATTGAATTCAGGTTAAATTTTTGGGATCATAACAATAAGGTGTCGTGGGCAGAGCTTGTATATCTCAGGCGCCTGCTAATCCGGAAAAACGATCAGTGGAATCAGTAAAGAGAAAAAATAAAAAATACAAGAGCTAAGACAAAAAATGAAACAACCACAGGCAAACCAGCAAAAATACAGACTGGCAACAGAATCTGACTCCGCCCATCGCAAAACAAAATACAACGGAAAGATAGGAGGGCATAGATGGCTAGAATGAGTCATGGTGTGCAGAGGAACAGAAGTCAGCAAGAACATATGTATCCACGATAGTAAAAGGAAGACACCTGGTAGAACAAAACCTTGATTTGTTTGAGCAGTCAAACCAGAACTTTTTGGGATGAACATTTCGTAAAATCAGTACAGTTAGACCTTGGTCACGTTTGAGAAAAGTGTAAAAACTGACATCTCTAATTCCCTGTTACAACAAAGTCAAACTATTAATTGAATTCAGGTTAAATTTTTGGGATCATAACAATAAGGTGTTGTGGGCAGAGCTTGACATTGTATATCTCAGGCGCCTGCTAATTCAGAAACAAGTGTCAAATAATGATCAGTGGAATCAGTAAAGGACGAAATAAATAAAAAATGAGCTAAGAAAAAATGAAACAACCACAGGCAAACCAGCAAAAATACAGACTGGCAACAGAATCTGACTCCGCCCATCGCAAAACAAAATACAACGGAAAGATAGGAGGGCATAGATGGCTAGAATGAGTCATGGTGTGCAGAGGAACAGAAGTAAGCAAGAACATATGTATCATTCTCTACGATAGAAAAAGGAAGACACCTGGTAGAAACGAAGGCTTGATTTTTTAAGCAGTCAAATCATAACTTTTCGGGATAGATTGGTTCATAAATCATAAACTACCCAAGTTGTTTCGAAATTTTTAATCAATAATTGGGTTTCAGGGGAATTTTGAAATCAAGTGTGGTAGTAAGGTGCGGATAAGCCACGTTTCGTTTCAGAGGTTTGGGGGAAAAACATCTTGGAGTCCAATGAAACTACGGCATTATGTTCTGGGACACTGGCGTAGCAATGTGTAGTTGTCAGTGCCCGAAATGCGCCCGCTCACCAAGAAAAAAGTGTAAAAAAATAATCGGTGGAATCAAAGAAGGAGAAAAAACAAAATCTATGAAATGAGACAGCAAATGAAACAACCGCAGACAAACCAGCGAAAATACAGACTGGCACCAGAATCTGACTCCGCCCATCGAAAAAAATGAAACATAATTGAAAAAAGGAGAGCACAGGCGGCTAACATAGGGAATGATGGTTCACAGAAAAAACATTGAAATATAATGTCTTTTTGATAGGAAAAAAGAAAACATGGTAAGAGAACATGTTATTTTTCGAACGTAAGAAAGACATATGTGAACAAATCGAGCATCAATACGCATGATTCTCTAATGAAAGGAAAAAAATTCAATGAACAGAAGTTATTCGAAAAAAATTGACAAAAACAAGAGGCTTTAGAAGAATACCGCTTCTTTTGTTGAAACTATTCATACGAAAAAAAGAGGAAAGAAAATTAGCGCTCAAAGAATTTGAATGCGAAAAGCATAAAGGTAAAGTTTTTGGTCACAGACTTCGTTAGTCATTGAGCGGGGTTTTTTTGGGGGAAAAGACAAAAATTCGCAGTGATGATGACATTCACAAAAATGTCTCTGTTTGAAAAAATGATCACAGCACTTTTGGGCGAAAGTAGAAATTTGGAATTTCCAAAAAAAAATGTGGAAATGAAGTTCCAATGAAATGAAGCTCGAAAAATCTGAAAATCTCCTATTATTAGTTTTCAGAAAGTTATGTTTCAAAATTACGAAATTTCGCAAAGAAATGGGAATTCAAAACGGAACTCCTGATTCGGAAAATACTTACCCCGATATTCCTCAAATGGAACTTTTTACATAAAAAACGTGAGCTCAAAAACCATAGCTTGCTTAGATTTTGAGAAAGTTTCAAGAGAGATCTTCAATAAAAAACAGCAATGAAGTAAGCAATAGGAACATTAGTTATTATCATTTACAGGGAGAAATAGAAATATGCAACTTTATTTCATCAAAACACTTGGCAGTAGAATAACAGGAGAAGATCAATTGTGAATAAAAATTTGGAATAAATGTAGAATCTGAATGAAACAATTGAAAATATTTTTGAATTTCAGCGAGAACAAATTTATTGATGTGGAGGGTTTCGTGGATGATGATTAGCAGGATTCCAATGGGCACCTGTCAAATGAAAATGTACTTTTAAAATTTATTTAAAAACAATTATAAAAGTACCTTGATCGAACATTCCACCATGATTTGGATCTTGAGGTGGAACGTTATTGTTGGGATTTTCCATTTCTCGATGAATAGCAGGCTCTTGAACTTGTTCTAAAAAATATGAAATCATTTTGAAAAATTGAATATGAAAAAAATACCATTTTGATTTTGAGCTTGTGGGGCAAGATTTTGTAAAGCATTTTGTGCTGCCAATTGTAGATTTACTTGTGCTGAACATGCGAATTTACAATCATTCTGAATTAAAAATAATTATACCTGGATTTGGAATTTGTGGTGGCTGCAGTCCTCGTTGGTGAGCGTAGATTGCCAGAATTTGCCCTGAAAATATATATATAGACAAGAAAACCTTGTCATCTCGTTATTGAGTATTCTTATATAAATAGTTTGGCCGATGAAGACAAAAAATTAAAACACAAATACCTATACTCAAAATATTTTGATGATATCCCATGCGTTCCATGGATTGTCTATAGGTTTCGCAGATGAAGATCGCTTGGTCTGGAATAAATGGGCTTAATTTTGTGTTTTTTTCCGAAATACATTTGGAAATATTCAGAAATATGCTTTTGCCAATAGCTATAGTTGTTTTCTGAATCGTTTAAAGACTCTGGCTACAGGAAAATTATAGTCATTCGCTGATTTGGTAGACTTAATTCCAAAATTGAAAATATGATTACCCATTGTTTGGACTTGTTGGAGTTGTTGTAAGCAAGTTTGAAGAAAAAGAGTTTGATAAGCTTGCTGTTGAGCATATTGTTGCATTGCCAGAATGTGAGCTAGATGCATTTGCAAGTTAGGTGGGGATGATGCAATTGGAAGTGTGTTATTTCCAGAGTTTGGGTTTTGTGCTTGTTGCATTACATTCATTGGATTCGATGGCAGCACATTCATTGGAACTTCTGAAATTTTCACATTCAAAAATATCAAGCTGTTTTCACTGAACAAAAAAAAAACATACGGACTGATGCTGCTGGAATTGCTTGAGAACTCGATGGCTCTGAATGTGTATCTGACATTGAGATATTTTGGTGATTCAATTTTATTATTTTTCCGGAAGAAGATGATGATGCTGAATCGTCGCTGCTTGGGCGTTCTGAAATTGTTTTATGTTATACATAGTTTTTTTATTGATTTTAGAAATAGAGAACACAAATTCTGTTAGTTCTTACATTTAGGCTGTACTTATCCGGCCAAAAAACCAGCCTAATGATTAAAATACTCACTGGTTCCTGATAGAGTGGATCTTCCTTCGGTATGGCGAAGATTGTCCGACTCTTGAGGTTCCACATTCATCTCTTCATTGTTTTCAACCATGAGATGTGCGAGATCTACTCTGACATTTTCGATATTATTTTCAACTTCTTCTTCAACTACTTGACGAGCTTCAACTTGTTCCACTTCTTCTCCATCATCCAAATCTCCATTTTCCAACTGAATTTCATTGATTGCTTCTAAAGCTTGTTCTTCACGATTATTGTTAACTTCTTCCTCAACATCTTGGTGATGTTCTTGCTCATCATCACCAACTTCTTCCTTTATTTGAACAATCTGTTCAGTTTTGATTTGCTTTTTTACTTTCGATGGATCCGATGGTCCTTAAAAATTGAACATACAAACTTCGAAACAATTAAAAATATTTTTACCTTCTTCATGATCAATTTCACAATACTTGACTCCTTCCTTCTTATCTCGAAAATTATAAATCCGACTTTTCTCAACACAATCTTCACTTGGAATTTTGCTCATAATTGTTTTGAACCTTTTTTCGGTTCTTCCCTCTGTTTGAAAATTTGCAAATTGTATGAAAAAAACCAGAAGCGAGCAACAATCTAAGTCCTTTCCCTTATCAATTATTGTTTCCGAAGCTTCAGTGAGCAGCCTAAGATAATTATTGGCAATCCGTGGAATTCGGTTTAGTTGATCCGCGTTGGTTGCGGATCGAAATCCAACAAGCGAACCATTTCTCAATTGGCAGATAAACACCATTCCAACATACTCGAAGATTGCTTCGGTTTCCATATTTGTTGATTTTTTAAGCAAAAATATTAACTGCAACAATCAAATATCAACAAAAAATCAGTGCGGAGAAAAAGGTTGCGGCAAAAAAACTTATGACAAAAAGCAAGTAGATATAAAAAATAGAACCCTAATTTTGATGCTGTAGACGGGAAAAGTTCAAATATTTTTCTCACAGGAAGACAATACAATGACTTGGCTTCGAGGCAATCATGGGGCAGGACTTGTTGAAAAGAATGCTACACATTTCGGGAAAAATGCAAAATGACAAGTTGAATTTTCTGGGGCAGTAAAACAGTAAGGTCTGTTGGTCGGTGCTCAAAACTCAAGGGAATCGGGTCCGATGTGCCCATCAGAAATAAACAGATTCAGATTAAATTTCAAAATGAATCATCCACAAAATACAGAACGGCACCAGCATTGAATAAAAGAAAATACAATGCAAAAATAGGAGAGAACAGACAGACAGCTAACAGGAGATATAATGGTTCGCCGAAAAAATTATAACGTTTTTTTGATAGGGGAAAAGAAAACATGGTAGAAGAAAAAAGGGGTGTGAAAAAAAGACCACCAAAAGTTTCAACATGAGGAACTAGAACAGAAGTTGGTTAAAAAATTAGAAAAACACGAGACAGATAGGGCTACTTGTTTATACCGATTCTTTTGTTGCATAAGGAAAAAGAGAGAGAAGCAGATTGGATTGGCGCGCAAAAATTTGAATGTGAGACGAGAAAAAAAAAACAAAGAGGTTCCCGGCAGAGTATCTCACACCAATTTCTTGTCGAATTTTTCTCTCGGAGAACAAAGGCAAGAATTTATGTGGTTGACATTTACAAAAACAAACGCAAAAAAAAGAAGTAGAAGAAGAAGGAGTTGACATTGATTTTGTTTATACTCAATTTTACAGATGCGCACAATACTCCCATGTGTTGTAGGAAGCTTCAAAGAGACTGAGTTTTTTACAACAGCATATCTAAATCATGTCAACTCATCATAAAAAGAAATCCAAAAAAATATAAACAAAAAAAAGAGAGAAAGGGCGATTTTTACCATTAGTCATCTGCATTCACAGAAAAAATAAAAAACATAACGTTTTATTGTATTAGAAAAAAATATGGCACGAGATGAAGGGGTTGATTTTTTTTTGGAAGGGAAAAACCAATAAAAATAATTGGGCTTGATTGATATATAAATTTATTCAAAATAGTATATGCATAGTTTCTTTTTCCTTTCAACACTTTTCTCAACTGCACCTGCTCTCATTATTTTCAGACCACCCACGATGTTTCTTCGATTTTTTCATTTTTCATTGACACGTCATAAAAAAATTGATCTAGTAAATTGAACTTTGCAAAAAACTGGCAATGTTATCGTAACAACATAGTGCCTTATTATTTCTAGTAAAAAAAGATGATGTGTTTTTATTTCCTTGCTTCTGTCTGCGAACAATTATGACTAATACGTGTTAACAATGTTTGCTCTGTCATTTTTCATTGTAATTTGTTGCGTGATAGATAAAGTCACATATTTTTGTAATATATTTCCTGTTGAGAAATAATAAGAGAAATGCGGGGACCAAACTTTTATGGATTGACAGAAAAAAATGTGTTCTGGTAAAAAATGTTTATTATGATTTTCATGATTTTGCTTTATTTCCTTTCCAATTAATAATTAGTCTCCCTTTCTCCATAAAAATATGCGATCCACCATTTGCACCAATTAAATTCAACTCAAAATAAAATCAACAACATGTCATTTCCATGGCAACCGTTGCTCTTTCTTCATATTTTCTATTTTGGTAAAATACAACTTTTTTTCAATACAAAATAAAAAAAATGTTTCACATATTTGGCTTTGGACCTGGTATCATTTTATTAATTGTAGTATTTTCATTTTCATTATTTATGAGCTTTATATATGGGCGGTCAAAAGGAGTGTAAGTCTTTTCTTAATTCTAATTATTTTTTGAATAATAAATGTAGTCTCCCTACAATTTCGTGCTTTTTTTGCTGACATGAATTTGTATTATATAATCCCCTATTTGCAATAAGAATTTTCTCTACGGCTCTCGGTTTTCACCTAAATAATTATTGTTGGGGTTTCTAACTGAAAATGGTCCGAATTTTTCGAAAACGACGAGTTGAGTATAGTAAAGAACAAAAACGTGTCAGGTTAGTACATTTTTCAATCCTTTTTTTTCAAATTCATCTTCCCCCGTTTTTTTCTATTTTTTCAAGAAAAAATAAAGAAATATATGAGCCATTCATTTCAGCTAGCCTATTATATTGTTTTTATGAGAATCAAAATTAATGTTCCAAAAAAGTCTACGGCTAAATATTTTTGAAACAGATAAATCAACCAATTTTATGTGGATATGCACATCGAAAATCACGAAAATATTTTGAGGTGGTTGTAGAAACCGAGGTACTGTACTTGGTTACGATAATTAGAGAATTTGATTTATGAGAAAATATGGAGAACCAAAATGTTTTATGTGTTTCTAGAAACAAAATATTCTACTTGCGGTTCGAAATTTAAGAACCACCTGGATTAAAAAATTGGTGAAATATTACATTTTTAAAATCATAAAAAATTACAAAAATTATTGAAAAACCCAAAAAATTAATTAAAAAAATCATACCAAACGATAATTATTTCAAGAAAATGAGCAAAAATTTTCCGCGGATTGGAATAAAATACAACTTCACTTTTCAGATTTTTTTGAAACTACTAAAAAACTTGAATACAAAAAAATTCGAAAATATAAAAGAAAAAATCCAACGCGCAGTTGGCACAATTATTAGAGCTTTTATGCTAACTTTTATCATGACAAGTAAAGCTGAATCACATGCCATTGTAAAATCATCAAAAATGAGGGATGTGTCATGTGATTCAAGCAATTATCGAGTAGAATATTACTTATTTTTGTGCAATTGAATCACATGAATTTTTGAATTAAAATCATCCTATAATTATCAATTGCTACCAGAAATGAGCTATTTTGGGATTTTTTTTTTGAATTCACGTAAATGAAATTTTTCAATTGTCATTATTTTTCACTGTTTTTTTTGAAAGGTGATTTCTGCATTTCAAGGAACCATGACTGATAGAAGTACACAAAAATATGTGTATGTCATATAAACAATTAGGATAGACTGTTTTTGATAACGTAATTGTGGATGTAGGCTAAAACCAGCTAAATTCAACTTATTATCGAGATGTGAACACTGTAAACCCCTCTCTTTTCTTAAAATCATCAAATAAATTTGCAGAGCATCTGTGCTGGGCATAATAATCGGTTTCATTCTCTTCTCAATCGCTCTCTATCATTGGCCTGTCAAAAATGCCGACGAAGCTCCATGGACACCCGAAACGCCGACCGATCATCTCCTAATTCCCCGAATATTGTTGTCGATCTTCCTTATTTCAACCACAATCTATCTTGTCAGTTTGTATGCGAAACACGATTTATTGCATATTATTCGAGCTCAATTGACAGCTCAAAGGCATTCTTCTTCTCTACAATAAAGAATTTTTCATTTTTTCTTTCACTTCAATCCAATTTCATATTTTTTTCTTCTATGCTTTTCTGGCGAATTTTTCATGGAAAAGATTAATCAAAAATGACAAATCGAATCGTTACAGTACCCTTCAAAATCACGTTGTGACGAAAAAAGAATGGAAAGCCAAGAAAAAACAGAAAATCAACTTTTTTAATCCTATTGAAAACGCAGACGATTTCTGATTTGTTCTCCAAAGATTAACACAATTAAAAGTTGCTCAATCATGTATTTTCCTTTTTTTTTGGTATGGAAATTGCTCACGTCAGATAAAAATGTATGTAAAAATCATCGAAACATTGAAACAAAAACAATAAGGAACACACATTTTTGTCAAGTATTCTTCTCAAATGCTAATATTGAGGTTTCTGTTTGACAAACACTTAAAAAATCAATTTGTCATGTCATGTTCTGGAGGCGTATACACTTAATGCTTGCTCAATTTCTGAAAATGTGTCGTAATCTTTATTTGATTCTGGAATTTCGAAAAAGGTTGACATTTGCGAAAAAGTTCATCGAATAAATTACATTTCCGCTCACTTCCACCTGGATTTCAAACACTTTTCATTTTTTGAGTCTTTAACGAAACATGAAAAACTGTGGTGGCTGATGCCAATCTCAGGGCTTATATTAAATTCCCCGTGGCCGCTCTCTTCGATGAAATGATCTATAGAATCCATTATCCAAAATTTTCCAAACCTTGAAAGAAGGTTTGTCGATTTACCCTCTACCTTTCACCTTTTCATTGAATAAATTAAAGTTCCGCTAATTTTCACCTGGATTTCAAAAAAGTTATTCATTTTTTTGTTTCTTCAACAAAATAAGCACGAAGAATACATTCCCTGAGAAATGTCTGGTCGATTATTCAATGTCAACATTTTTTTCATTCTTCAAAATTCCAAAACCCGTGATCTACAAAATGATGTGGATTTTGTAGTTAAATCATTTTTCTGATTCAAATTTTTCTTGAGCTGAATGGAGTAAACATGTTTTTTGAATAATTCGTCATTTATTTGTGAAACCAAAATTTGAGTAACAGCTTGTTGGGAGAAAATCTTGAAACAGACAGATTACAAGTGTTTTCCAGAAAATATCCAAATTTTTTGTTGCCTCTCCAAAATTGAATAAGAAGAAAAAAGTGTTGTTTTTGTCGCCAGTCTACTTGCATACGTTTTTGAAAAATACATCTTATTACGACTTTGCTTCTCGTTTCGTTTCGTTTCTTCTCAATATGAAATTGACCTTTTTTGTTCAAACAACGCATTTTTTTTGATGTTGCTCATGTTTAAATAAAAACATTTTCAAAAAAAAAAGTAGAAAAACGCAAAACACTGTCTAAGTTTTTCTCAAGTATATTTTGGAGGGGAAAAAGAAAGAACAAAAACTTGTCAGTTTCAGAGATCTTTGGAGGTTGAAAACAGATAAATCTATCATTTTGTGGAGCAGATTTAGAATTTTTGGCATTTTTTAGTTGTGTAGGAGGAAAATCAAGTTTTCGGAATAGTTTTAAACATATTCAGTTTGCGTTTTCTTTTTAAGTAGTATCACTGAAATATTCATTTGTTCTGGATTTTAGATCCCACTCCGTGATCTAGACCACCCAGATATTTTTTTTCTTGCAATTTGAACCATCTAACCAAAATCTTAATGATTTTATTTTGAAATTTCTCAAAAAAATCCTGGAGTTTCTAAACTATCCTCGAGTCCAAAACTCCCATTTTCAAATCCAAACTTTAAACTTCCATATTTCTCAACATCCGGTATTTTCATTGTTTCTCATTTCTCACACATGTTTTCTTTTTTCATTGTTTTCATCCTTTAGTTCAAAAAAATTTCCTTTCCTAGCATAAACTCCCCCCAAAAAATAGGAGGAGCTAATTCCGAGCACGTCATCCCATTTCAGATGGATAGGCTGGATGGATAGAAAAATAAACCCCGCCCTCTCCAGAATTTCCACTTTTGACTCATTCATTCTTTCATTCAGCACTTTTCTTTTTACAAAAAAAATCATCTGGCTTTTATTTTTTTATTCTGAAAAAAAATTTCGATTTTCAGGTACAAAAAAAACAAGAATGTTGAGCGTCTCTCGTCTTGTTGCAATTTTGCTTATCGCGATTTTCGCTGTCGCTTTGGCTGCTCCACGACAATTTGTGATGGGTTTCGGTAAACGATCGGTTGCGTCTTTTGAAGATGATGTTGCGGAAGGATCACCAAAATTGAAGAGATACAAGGTTAGCACATTTTTTCTTTGTATAAAATAATTCTTGAAATGTTTTTCAGACAAAAGGATTCGCAATGGGATTTGGAAAACGTGGACAAATCCGTGGATTCAATATGGGATTCGGAAAACGATCTGGAAATGATTTGGTCGAGCCATCATACGATGATCTTTCTCAATACTTCTAATCAAAAAACAAATAATTCCCCCAATCAAATCCTGTTAAAGTCCAGTCCGGTCCACACATGCTTTTGTGATGATTTTCTAACGCTTCCGATGTAATTGTATTTTATTTTGATCTAACTTGTATTTTACCAAAATGTTTCTCTCTCTCTCCCATTTTCAACACTCAAAAATTCCATCAAAAACAGTTTGAGCCCATGTTTATTGCACATTTTATTTTTTCGAAAATGAATAAATCTTTAGTTAACAAAAAAAAATTGTTGTACATCATCGTATATATTATTACATAAGTATAAGAAGATTAGGAAACTTTTTTTCGAAAGGGAAAAACAATGGAAAAAAATGTACCTCCAATTCAGGGAAAAGCTTTTAAAGTTCATCAATTATTCAATGACTCAAACAGGAAAGTTGTGTGTTGCGGCGACAAGAAGAGAAAATATTGGACACTTGAATTTTATTTCATTTTTTTTGATGTATAATTATGATTTTTGCAAAAAACTTTTTCCTGGAAAATTTTTAGAAATCGAGAAAAATGTTACGGGAGTTTTTGTGAACACTGACATTCAAAATAGCTTCTGAAACATTGGAAATTATTCGGATATTTTTCTTGTGATCAATATTGACAACAACTTATTTCATCAATGTTTCACTTTGACAAGGTGATTTTCAGTCAAATGACTCTTATGACACTTCTAATTTTGGAACTTTAAAGCTCTAAGACCAGACTTATAGCGTTCTCTTTAAATTTTCCATTAACTATATCAAAATTATGAACTTCTGAATTTTCAATCAATTTTCAGTCAGCCCCCAGCAAGAGATTTCCTAGCTGTTCTTAAATTCAAACTTCAAAAAATAAAAGTAGTTTTGCGTGGGATATATGATAAATGAGAGCCAATCCAACTTGTTCTCAAATCACATCGATTTATCAAAATTTTAGGTATTTTGTCAAGTTCTTTCATCTTTCTTCTTCTTCTTCCTTTTCATTTTTTTTACTGAAATGACTTTCTTTACATTGTTTGACAAATTAGTTGAGCCCGGAAAGAAATCATGTGGAAATTTTTTCGAAAATAAATAACAAGATGTTTTTGAAGGTAGGAAACAACATGTACAATTTTACTGGGCTCTGGTGGAACGAAAACGGGAATATACAACACAATATAATAAAATTTTAATGGTTTTCAGCGATTCTTGGAAAATAAAAAAAAACATTACATTACAGGATTTTTTGAATCGGTTTTTTCCTCATTTTCTGCCTATACTGCATTTCATTTTAATCTAAACAATCGGAGTATATCTTTTTTTGGTTTGCAGTTGGATCAACAACGTGACGGATTTGATGATTTGGTAGAAAATTCTGAGAATTTATAAAGCCGGGGTTTTTGGAAGATTATCCAATAAATAGTTCAATACGATTTTTGAAGTTTTGATTTCTTTTGATTGGTTTTTCATGAAGACAATTGAGAAATATTCATGGATAAAAAAATCAAAAAATATTTTCGTGGAATGAAGTTACAATTTATTTTTTACGTCATAACTCATACCCAGAGTTGAGCTAACGAGAGAAGAATACAGTGTTTAGAAGTCTACTCATATAAAAAAAACTGAATCTTTATACAGTTCATCAAAAATGGTCAATTTATCTAACCCAAAGGTTTTTTCAACAATTTGGAAATAAATCAAAGCGTGCAATCTTCCAACTTTGAAACTGCCTACTATTTTTGAAATAATTCAAAATGTTTTCTATAAAACTTGAATTCTCAGTGTCAGAAAAATCGAATGTTTCTAAAAATATCAATCTGTTCATCTTCTTTAACACTTTTCTCATTATACATAGATTTGACATCAAAGAACTTGTAGGATAATCAAATTTTGTAAAGATTTTGTGGATCATCCGATTGATTTCCGGATTTTCTTCAAACAAATTACACAAAATTTGGAGAATATGAATAAAGATAGGTTTTCAGAATAATATATGTACATAATAGCTAATCTTTGGGAACCGGAAATTGGTGTGGGGGAATAAAAAATGAATAAAAAATCAGAGAATTCAAAGATGAACAAATTCTTGATTTTTGGAACTTTTCCTCGAAAAACTGGTGGGGAATAGTTTCACAGTTTTTTTTTTTGGAAAATATATTTCTGACATGAGCAAATCATCAGAAAAAAGTAAAAACATGATTTTAAGAAATTAAATGTAAGTATGCTTAAAATTAAATAATGAATAAAAATTTTTGTAAAGTACAACGAAATTCACGAAATTCCAAAAAAACAATAACTGCAAGTGTTAAAATATTTCAAAAAATATAAAAATAACTCCGAGTTTTGAATTACTGCAATAAATGTTTCAATCTTTATTCTGAAAATTTTTCATTTTGATTGTATCCAAAAGTTACCAGTTCAAAAATAAAAATAAACAACATCAAAATATTCATTGAAAACGCCTCCAACTCAAAATTTCTGATTCCGAGATTCCGAAAAAAAAACCTCAAAGATCTTCCCGAACCCTAATCATTTCATCCCATCCATTTTTTATGTGTATGTCTCACAAAAATCTTCCTTTGCTTGACGGATCAGAAATCTTTGTTTCTTCTAGTTGTCAATAATCAAAAGGGACTCTGTCATTTGCCAAAAAATTTTCTTCCTATTTTTTTATATTCTTCTTTTTTCTTTCTCTTTAGATTTTCTTCAGCCTCAAACCAATTGGTAAAAAGAGAAGACACCTGCTTTTTCTATTCTTTTGCCGTTGCGTTGCCTGCTCATGCCTTCTCCATCTTCTGATTACACTTTTTGGGCGCGAAGAGGCGGATGAGAGAAGAAGATGAAGATCAGGAAAGAATCCACAAATACATCGGAAAACATTTGACAGCCGAGAGAAATGCAAAAAAAAAACACAACAAGCATGTATTTTTTTGATTTACGGGTTGGGCGTGGAAACATTTCAGGACATTTCAAAACTTTCCCATTTTATTTTATTTCATTTTCATTTCCAAAATATTAATTGACTGAAATCAGGTAAGTGATCTTTTGGACTCCATACTAAAGATTCTCACGTTCTCTGTTTTTTGGATAATAAAAATATAAAGTACAAAGAGCTTTTGCGAAACTCAATCCAATCTTTCCAGATGAATCTAAATAATAAAATTCATAGACAAATTACACATCGGGATGCATAGCAAGAAAAAAAAAGAGAGATTTTAAAATTTTCACACTAGTCCGAGAGAAGTTGGTGTAATCAAATCAAATTATTTTCATTTCACTCTCTCACTTTTCTTCTCAATCATTTTCGCATAGATTCTTTGAATTTTAAATCTCACCTCAAGATTTTCATTATGATTTTTGAATAGTCCCCAAGTTTACCTATTCATGTTCTCGAAAAAACACACACGGGGAAATCTTTTTCAATATATCTTGTGTTGTGCCGTTGGCTCACGGCCGATCCCAAATCCTCCCACTCAATTTCTTGTGCTGTCCGCGTCCGAATGAAACAACAACAGAAGAAGGATGCATATGAGAGAAAGAATAACCCACGAAAAAATATATCTGACTTATTTTTTTGACGTATAGATAGATAGATATGTTTGTTTGTTTGTCAAAGAACTTTTCGGTCACTTTTGTTTTTTTTTTTTGAAATTGATTGTGAGTTCTTGAACTTCTTTGAGGAGTGGGAGGAAGACATTTAGTCATTGAAAATTGTTTTCATTATGTGACCGGTTTAAAATTTGAGATAATTTTTCAGAAGTAAAATTCAAGAGAAGATGATTTTCAAACTTTTTTCTTTAAACAAATTGATTTATTTTTTTTATATTGAGTTCCACATGAAAGTAGATCAGATTAGTAACCTGGTTTTTCATAAGATCTGATGCAATACTAGGTGAGCCAGGCTCAAATTAGCCCCTTATTAAAGATAACTAAAGATTTTTTTCCTGACGTTTTTTTTTTAAGCTTAATAAAAATTCTGTTAAAAATTAGAAAATTGTAAAACATTTCTCTCTGTTATTTGAATCGTGCCATGAACTTCTTTTTAAAATTCGCAGATGATTGTTGAAATTGAAATTTCATAACATTTTTTTTTACTAATTTTGAAATATTTCAAATTTTCCCCAATAACAGTTTTCCACCGCGAGAAACCACTACCACATTTTTTCACAATCTTTACTCTCACAATCAAAATCCCATATGTTTTGCTCTGAAAAATCACACGAAAATGTTCTTCAATTGAAACTCTCCATTGTTCTATGCTTTTTTATTGCCAAGTTTCACATCTCTTCCAACCTGATCTCATTGCACTTTCTCTCATTATAGCCGAACAACAACAACTTGTGTTCGTGTGGGTTGATCTGATCACTTTTTTTTGTTTCTTGTCTTGTCAACTGATTTTTGAGTTTACCTTTTGCTTCTTCTCACTTTTTCTAATAATCAATTGGAACTAGCGATTGAGTTTCGTATTTAAAAATATAAATAAATTCATTGATATTTCAAACATCTGGTAACCTCTGTTCTCAAAAATCTCATATCTCAATTCTATAAATCATTTCGGCTTCTCTCATCAATTTTTTCTAGCAATTGAAAAGCTGAAATTTATGATTATCACTAATTTTCATTGCTTCTCTTTACACTCTCTTTTCCTATTTTCATTTTCTCACTTGAAAACTAATAAAATAAAATCATATTTTTTCGGACCTCACAAAATGTCTGAAGCGGATGCTCAAGAAGAGTTTCACGATGCTCCAGAAGAGGCAACAATTGAGATTCAGAAAGAATTTGTAGCTGAAATTGATGGCGAAAATAGCACTGCTCAACAAGTTGAAGGTGAGTGCTGAAATAAGTTTTTCAGAACAAAATACATTTTTTAGGTGGAGAAGAAGTGGAAGAAGTTTTAGTAACAGCTGAAGCTGATGATGAAGAAAAAAGTGCTCAACAAGTAGATGAAGATCGAACTGAAGATCAGGTAGGAAAAAAAAACAAAAAGCAGATATACAAAAATAACAAATATTACACATTCTTGAGTTACACAAATAACTTAACTTATGTTTTTGTTTTGTTATTATTGCTTTTTGTTCAGAGCTCACAAAAATCATTATTATCATTTATTTTTTGTTGGAAGATTGACATGATTTTTTTGAAAAAAACATACTTGTTATTTTTCAAAAACTTCAAATTTTTGAAATTATTTTTTGGGTGAATGGTAGAATAGCCCCCACCTCCTTATGAGGAAACCTATTTTTAGATTGAGACATTCGAGTAAGGCTTATATTATTCATGTGTGGCTTAATTTTTTGAATATATTTGATTGATTCATTTTTAAGGACCTAATTTCCAAAAAAAAATTCCTAATGCTTTTAGTGAAAATTAAACTTTTCGAAAAAAATTACGAAAATTTGAATCTCAATGAAAAAAAAACTTTTAAACTAATTTTATAATTTCGCAATGATCTCAACATTTATCAAAAAATCCCCCAAAAATATCTACCAAAAAGTGTCATAAAATCAATAGACGTTGCCATTTTTTGTAGCGCAATCAGTACACAAACCAGACCAACTCTCAATAAACAATAATATTTTTTTTGGAAAACCAAATCTTGATTGCTTCCCGTAGGCAAAAAAGTGCGTAGGCCCAAATATCCTATCATTTTTTCATCCATTTTATTCGTTCTTTTCGTGTCTTTTTTTCAGCAAGTTTCTCAACATCTGTACTCAAACAAATCCTCAATCAAACTTTAGTTTATCTATTTCCATTTTATTTTTTTTTGTGTTGTTAGAAAAAACCTTTTTTTTTCAAATTTCGAAATTTCAAAATCAATATTTTCAGGTCCCGGATATCACTGGAACGGAGAACGTGGACCCAATGACAACAAGCATGGATGGAATTGAAGAATTGCCAGCTAACGAGGAAACTCAGGTAAGAAAAACGAACAGATTTACTTATTTTTCACATTTAAATTTGATAACTTTTCGAGTTTCATTACGCTTATAAGTTCTAATAACCTAATCCTAAAATAAAAATAACAGTTCGAAGACACAATTCTCGAAGAAGACGAATTGCCGGATCAAATGGAATCCTGTGAGCATCAGGAGCAACATTCTGATTCTGAATATGTTGAAGAAGAAATCATTATTGAGGAAGAGTTTAAAGAGAGCGATTACGTGAGTTATAATAACTTTAATGAGAACTAAAAGTAGATAATTAATTAAATAGATTTAATCAGAAAAAATAATAATCTAATCAACAATCCAATACCAATAAACATTTTGAGTGTCTTTTTGAACATTTAAAATTATTTTTAAAATTAGTAGCTATTTTACAAAATAAAAAACTTGTGTGAGAAAACCCTAGAGCAAATAATCAACAAAAATTAGAAACTTTTAACCAACATTCCTAACCTAAATGCTCATCGTTTTCAAGACTTTTTTGATATTTCAGAAATGTTTTTGATCTACGGAAAAATGTTTTATTGAAAATTGTGTTTTTTAGTTTTGTAAACGGTTTGGGTTTTTTTTTTTCAAATACCTGAAAATTTAGAACAGAATAAAATCTTGAACTCACCAAGTCACCTTATATCATTCTCTTAATTTCTAGGTAGACGCTTCTGCTCAAGAAGAATCCGCACCAGCAGAGGAATCTGCTCCAGCTGAAGATGCCGCGCCAGCTGAAGAGGCTGCTCCAGAGGAAGCTGCTCCAGCAGAAGAAGCCGCACCGGCAGAAGAAGCTGCTCCAGAAGAGGCTGCACCAGCTGAAGAAGCCGCCCCAGAAGAAGCCGCTCCTGAAGAAGCTGCTCCAGCAGAGGAAGCTGCTCCAGAAGAAGCCGCACCAGCTGAGGAGGCTGCTCCAGAAGAGGCTGCTCCAGCAGAGGAAGCTGCTCCAGCTGAAGAAGCCGCGCCAGCTGAAGAGGCTGCACCAGAAGAAGCTGCACCAGATGAGGAAGCTGAGCCAGCAGTTGTTGTAGAAGAAGCTGCTCCAGAAACACCAGCCGCCACAGAAGAAGAGGTTGCTGACAAACAAGAATTTGAACTTCAAGCTCCACCAGAGGGTAAACGACCAAGAACTCCAAACGACTTGGACAACCCACCAGCTGAAGAAGAAGCTGCTCCAGAAGAGGCTGCTCCAGCTGAAGAAGCTGCTCCAGCTACACCAGCTGCTACAGGTAAGGTTTGAAAGTTTTGACAACTATAGGATTTTTGTGAGGAATTTTCGCCATTTTTTTATTTCGAAAAAATGATAAATCATATGTTTTCACGGTTTTCCGTGGACAAACTTTAGACGGAAGAAAAATTCAAGAAAATACATTCTTTCATAAAATTACTTTTTGAGAACCAGTTTTAAATATGAATTTTACAACAAGTTTCATTCAAATTCATGGGGAAACAACAAAAAACACGTGAAAGAAAAATTTCCAAAAAACAAAAACAAGGAAATAAAAGTAGAAATGGAAGTGCGCCCTATTGATAAACATTGCATGTGTCGCACTCTTTCAAAAATTTGTGTGTGTTTTGTCGTTTATGTTTTATTATCAGACTAAAAGGGTGTCTGGGAACATTTTTTAATCCAAATTTTTTCCAGAAAATCAATCAGTCCCACCAACACCAAGATCGGCTGCACCAAGTGAGGTGCCACCAACTCCAAAGTCCGCAGCTCCAAGCGAGGTTCCACCCACTCCAAAATCAGCTGCGCCAAGCGAGGTGCCACCAACACCAAAATCCGCTGCACCAACTGAAAGCGTGCCACCAACACCAAAATCAGCTGCCCCAAGTGAGGTTCCCCCAACACCGAAATCTGCGGCTCCAACTGAAAGTGTGCCACCAACTCCAAAATCTGCTGCACCATCCGAAGTGCCACCAACACCAAAATCGGTTGCCAATGGAAGTGTTCCACCAACACCAAGATCTGCAAAATTAGCCAACGGAAGCATTCCAGGAACACCATCAGTTATTGCGCCAGAAAGGTTACATTTTCATTCTCCTTCTACAAAATTTTCACGCACTTCTATCTTTTTTTGTTTATTTTTCAAAATTGCTTCACTGTTAGCATGACCCTATCACTTCTACACATCTAACACCTCCTTTTCCAAAACTAATCTGCAATTTCAGCGCAAAGGCTACACCAGCCGCCACACCAGCCGCTGATCAAACAGCCTTCACTTTCGAAGAGACACCAGCCACTCCAACAAAAACCAGTGTGCCAGCAACTCCTAATGACAATTTGGCACCGAAAACCCCAAAGACACCAAAAACTCCACGCACCCCGCGCACTCCAAAAACACCCAAAACTCCAAAGACACCAGTGTGAGATTTTCTTCTTCTATTTTTATTTTCTATCCTTGCTTCTCTCCATATTTTTTTCAAAGTTCAATCAATAATTTTTTGAAAATTTAGCGTTGAAGAGCCAGAAGCTGAGCCAGTTGCTGAAGCTGAGCCAGTCGTTGAAGCTGCTGAAGCAGAACCAGTTGTTGAAGAAGCTGAACCAGTCGCTGAACCTGAACCTGCAGCCGAGCCAGAAACTGAGCCAGCTGCTGAGCCAGAACCAGCCGCTGAAGCTGAACCAGCTGCCGAGCCAGAAGTTGCTCAAGATGTTGAAAAGCCAATCACCAAGACTGAAGTCTCGCAAGACACTGCTGAACCAGTCAGCCGTCGTGAACCATCCGCTTCACCCCCACCAAGAAGACGTGTTCAATCACCAAGCCCTGAAAGATCACGCCCAGCTAGACACGCTGATCGTGACATCACAACTTATGATGAAGACTCATACAAAACTATTCCACCACCAAGAATCCCAACAGCCACTTCATTCTCATCGTGGAGCCCACCAGATAAACAAAGCTATACACCAATTAGGTAGGAATTTTACCTTCAAAATTTCTCCACAACAAAAACTCAAACTTTTTTCAGCCCATTCGTCAGCACTGCCAACAAATACCGTAATGATTACACATCTGGATCAAGCTATCGCCCATCCAACATCTATACTCAACACTTTGACGATATCGTTGCTACCGGAGCTTTCTCATCGGCTCTTTATTCAACAACTCGACTTATTGAGAGATCAAGAAGCCGAACTCGTGAACGTAAACAAGCCATGAGATCTCAAAGATCGGCATCCAATTATTATAGGTGAGTATAACATTTTGAAAAAAAATCTGCGTTCGGGAGGAATCAAATCCCGGTCAAAAGCTTTCAAGAATGTTTTTTCAAGTTTATGAAAACTTGAATCCTAAAAATTATCTGGAAACTGTTTCAAGCATAAATTTAAATTAAAACTTTAACTTTTTTGATAAAAATTTTGGCCCAATAAATTTATTTCCAGATGTTTTTCTGATTTTAATTTTCAAATCACGAAATCCCGAGTGTTATTTGAATTTTTTGAAATATTCATAAAATATGTTTCTACCACTATACGATTCCCATATGTTTCCAGATATGTTTCGCAATATCCAGCTCCAACTCGTGCTCGTGAATACTCAACTCCACCAACTCGTGCCGTTTCTCGTCCACCAAGCAGAAACTCCTCATTCATCTCGTTCTTGGACTATTCGGATTCTAAACAAGGAGAACTTTCGCGCGCCAATTCTCGCACTTCAATTTATGGAGATTCATTGTCGAGAAGCGGGTAAGCTTTTCTTTCAAAATATTTGAGAAAAGTATCAAAAGAGTATTTTTAGATCTCGTTCAAATGTTGATTTGTATTTGGGTGGTGGTCGATTGTCTCGTGTTGATAGCTACGTCAGAGATATCCATACTCCATACGAATATGAGGTGAGAAATCTTTTTTTTTGATATTGAGAAGGTAAACAATACAATCTTATAGGTTCCATCAACTTATGAGAGATATCGTTCATCCTCTCGAACACCTTCTTATTCAACAGTCAACGGTTATACGGTTAGTTTATTTTTTCCTAGATTGTTAGTGAAAAGTGGGAATTTTGTGGTTCAAACAACAATTGTGTAGGTGGATGATTGTTTTGATAAATAATTGATGAAAATAAGAAAACTGAAACTAATGATCAATCATTTTAAGATCAGACAGAAAAAAAGAAAACATTGGTTCTAAATAAATAATAGGTTGATTCGATTAGTTCCGGGAAAAACTGGAACAAAAGTTCATACTTTCAAAGTTATGTAGATTGTATATTTGAGATCTGAAAATTATCAAGAATTTCTAGCTCAATTTGGAAAATTTTCAATCTTTCAAATTCTGAGAACATTTTATTGTATCAAAATCCTTTCATTTCCAAAAGTTTCCGAAATTTTTTGGTAATTTGTGAGTTTACATCTTCTGAACTGAGTAGCTTTAGAAGTTTTGAAAACAGTTTAGTTTGAGATTTCGAAAATTTCAAATCTACATGATTTTCAAAACTTCAGCTCTCGAATCTCATTTTCTATACAAACAATATTCGGGATAACTAATTTCATATCACAGAGGCTTCAATATTTCTTAAACCATTCAAAACCCCCAAAAAAATCTCGAAAAAGTGCAACAAATCCTCGTCATTCGAAACAAACACCCACTCAAAACGAGGCAAAAAAAGCTGCTCATTGAAGCTATCCCTCTTCTCAATTCCATCATTCACACAAATACCAACAAACACTAAAGAAATAACCAAAACACGTGCGGAGAGTACTTGGATACTTGAGAAACAGTTACCTTTTTTTTCGTCTATCCACAACAAAACCATATCTTTCATTTTCCTATTCCAAAGGGGCGAAAAATACAAGCACTTTGCGATTTGTCCATTGAGCAGAAGCAAACATACTTCAGCATTTTGGAAAGAAAAAGAAGACACAGCAGTTTTCTTGTCGCACCAGACATTTTTTCTATCCCCGGTGTGTTTCTGTTTTTTGCGTGCGCAGCGTGTTGCAAATCCTTGTCGATCGAGACGAAACTTCTCTTATTTTATTTTATTCAAAACCAAATTTATTCATCGAAAAACTGAAAAGTTTACGAATCTCCGATCGATAATCTAATCCTTCTCGAAACATGTATCTATTGAGCAAAAAACGAATTTATCGACAAAAATATGATATCGTAAGTAGAAAGGGCAAAATTGAAATGAAAACCACAAAATTCCCACTAACATGTTTCCTTCAACTCTAAATCCCGACCATTTTAGTCCTATACTTCTTCACCATCATACATTGAAACTGATTCAACTCGCAGAATGAAAAGATATCAAAGAGATACTAGTCCAGCACTTGTTCGTAGCATGTATGAGGTATGCATATCAATTTGTATTTTTATGATGATTATATTTTGTCCTCCGGTTGTCCTACTAATGTGCCCGTCTAACATACACGAGAATAGCGTCCCAAAGTTGACTTTTTTCATGTGCCAACCTTTTTTTGCAGGGACGAATTGGTCATTTGGAGAGATCGCTTTCCAGAGAAATTATTCAAAAAGATAGAGTAAGTTTGACAAATGGTGGAATATTTAGAAAAAAATGTTGATTAGATTCTGAAAACTGTTGAATGGTCTGCAAGATCTCAAATATTATAGGCTTCCAATTAGAAACTTTCAGAGTTTAGACATCCAAGTCCTTTTTGACTGAAAAATCTCTAGAATTCCTTCCTAGTCTGGTCAGACATTTTTTTCGCAATATCTAATATCATAAGATAAGTGGGTAATGTAAACAATATCACATTTTGATCCTTTAGAACATACGTAGATAGTGTTTTTTTTTTCGAAAAATAAATACCCACTAGATACCTCAGAAAAACCCTATAGTTATCTATTCAGTTGCGCAACGAATATCAACAAATCTCATCAAAACTCGATCAAGCATGCCGTCAAATGGAATTGCTCAGGTCAAACTCATACAGCAGCTATCGTGGACAATCCCTACCCCGCACCAGTGTCTATTCCCACTTCTATCCATACTATTAAACTTATACCCCAAAGAACCTGCACCTCTTTAATTCTTCTTGTAGAAACCTTCTTCAAACTACACACGCTATTAGTGTCTTGCATTTTTTTTCTCGTCTTAAATTGTTTCCTGATTCTTACAGGAGCATTACTTTACGATTCGATGTAGATTTTTCCCACGAAACCAAACCACACAACTTCTCCTAATAATTGTCGCCTTTCCTAATAAATCTTCCAAATTTCAAAAAAAAACTGTTCATATTATATATTTCTGGATTCAATTTTTATAATAACCTAACATGTTTTATGTTTAATGTAGACTAACATAGATGTTAACAATGATTTTCAAGAAAAAAACATCCAATAACGATTTTTGCAGCCCGTATACACCTCCCAGTATGGACGATCAACGGCTGATAAATCGGCCGGATATTCGGCGCTCCATAGCTTACTCTCTGGATTTACGCGCGACTGGGCTGCCTACAACTGAGAGGTTTGTCTGAAAATTAATGTAATTTCAGTTTTTCAATCAAGTTATTTTGCAGGTGGCGGTTAGGAAATGTGGTTTATGGTGGTTTATATCGTAAAAAATATGATGCAGACTTGGAAAAAGCTGTACAATATTATAGTTCCTCTGCCAAATCTCGAAGACATTATTAAAAAATCCCCCTTCACATTTCCCCCCAAAAATTTTTCAATTTTCATTTGCATTTTTCCATCTCATCCAATCCATGCTAAAAAATCCTTCCATTTTTCATTTTTTCTATTGTTCTTTTTGCCCACGAAACGAAATACTGCCCTTTCTTTGTATGTTTTTTTCCTGTCCAATTTGTATCAGATTTTGATTTGTAGATTTTTTTTGATTGAATAAAGCATTTATTTTGAAATGAAAAATTGTGGCACGAAGATAAATGGAATCTTCAAGAACTCGGAAAGTTGACCACGATTCTGTAGCTGCTGAGCTCAAGAAATACTCTTCTGATATCTCCAAATTTTCTCTCAAAAATTGTTATCCACAGAAGGTTTTGACGCCAAACAAGCTCTATATGATCAAGTTTTTCCTGAAAATCAAGATCTATTCAAAACTCCCAAAATTCAATGACAAAAATCAGTGACATCAGAATATCACACCGGACTAATCAAATTTAGCTCGCTGAACATTCTGACGTTACTGATAAATATCACATTATAAAAATACTAAAATGAAATACAGTAGTACAATTCAAAGTATTGATATTTTCCCAAATAATAATTTTTAATAGTTGTGGGAAACATTAAAATATTTTATTTTTATTGTATGTGCAACCCGCTATTATAATAACAACAAGAAAAAAATCGATTTTCAAAAAATTGAAAAGAAGAAAAAAAAACAAGAAATCTCCCAGAGATCAAAATTAAATCGAATTTAATTGAAGCAAATTATCTTCACAAATCAGTGATTCCACTCCATGGATCATTTGAGCAAATTGTAGTTGGTGGAACTTGCATCACTTTGAAAAACCCGGACCACATTAATGGAAGACCAAAAAAGCAGATTGACCTGAAACCGATTATTATTATTGATTGATTTTTATCCTTGATTGAAAAAAGCTTACATAATAAACCCAGTCGCAGTTGAAGCGAGTGTTGCCGCGGTGCGTTGCTCATTATAAACTCGATCCAATTGAATGGCCAAACTTTTTGCACGCCGCATTTTTTCACTGAAAAATTAAAAAAAAATAACAATTGTTCACGAAAAAAAAACAAAAAATTATTGTTTAGGTCACTAAAAGAAACTGAAATGAAAATGAAAATGAAATTTACAGGATTTTTTTTCGGCGGGGGCAAAACTTCTTTAGAAAACTACCGAAAATGATAAAGAAGAAAAGAAAGGACGAGAGAGAAAATGTGAACGGCGGGAAAACTGTTTTGAAAAAAAAATGGATGGAGAAAAAAGTTGAAAAGGTAAGTAACAATATAGAAAACTTATAATCCACTTACATTTAATAATGGTGATTGAATTCAAGGTCTGCTCGACCTCTCTGTGACCATTTCTTTTGAAATGGAAAAAAAAACAATTTGGATTTATTGACATGAGGTTTGAGGTCTTGAATATAATTATAGATTACGGTAGTTCTCTTATAATATGAGACTGAAAAAAATTCAAAAATAAAATGTCTTGTCAATTCTGGGAAATAATGATTTCTGACGTCATGAACAACGTGGTCCCAAAAAACCAAACTTCAGCAACAGGAAATGTTTTCCAAAAAATGTAGATGAATTTTTGTATCGGAGTAAAATATTGTGAAAGTTTTTAGTTATGATATCTTGTCACAGCCAATTTTAAAAATCAAAACTGGCTTAAAAGATTCAAAGTACTCTATTCAGCAGCAATCAGTCTTCAAGCAATAAATTTTGATAGCAATTTATTTTATTACCAAAAATGTAACATGTAAAGATAAACCCGAACTTCTCTGATCTTACAAAAACTCATCTACAATAATTTTCAAGACCTCTCACTTTTGAAAAGTCGTGAAATCTTTCAAAAATCTGACCTCGCTAAATAGTCACAATTTGATATCAAATTTAGTAAAAATTGCAACATTCCAAAAAATCAGGGCAAACTAAACTCTAATCTAACTGACTGTCGGAAACACTCCTTTTATACCCGATTGATATCGCGAGAACCGTGACAGCATGTATAAAAAAACCAAAGTTGGCCAAAAATGACTCTGATTATTGCAAACCTGTTCTAAAACCAAACCATATGATCAAAAAGAAAAAAAACAGAACTGATTCGAAAATGGATGTGTGATCAGATGTTTTCCGAAAAAAAAGATTCTTGGGCGCGACACTTGAGACCTTGACATATATAACTACAGATGTTTCTATATTTTTTGGCGAGAAAAACAAGGATGATTGAAAAACTGTAACCTTGTAGTCAGCCGTCATATGAAATTTTGACCGATTCCGGTCAAGGATCATTTTCGAAACAAAAATAAAAAAAAAGTTTGGAGAATTGTTATCTGGAAAAGACAAACAGTTCGTTGAAATAGTTTTTTTTCCTAACAAGTTAAAGAAAGACAATAGAAAGTTCTGGAACGATGTTTCGAAATCGAATCAAATCAAATCAACAGGAAAAAACTGAATTTTTGATACCACTCGGAAAAAAAACTATTTCGAAAGCAAAATCTGAAGAAAGCTACCACTTATCATTTCCCGAAAAATTTATTACTTTCTCGGAAAAATGAAAAGGTCGATGTTTGATGTTTCGAAATCTTTTTTTCAAAGCAACTTCTTGAAAATTTTTCTAGTCAAGAAAAAGCTCTAGGTTTTTCTAGTTATGATTATGAATCGACTGTCTGAAAAGATGATAAGTTTTTTCGAAATATTTGGTTGTAATCTTGAGAAAACTGTATTGTTTGACCGAAAAGATGTGAGAAAAAATAAAGAGAAAAATTTTGATGTCTGTAAAAAAATTGTCTAATAAGTTACATAATTAATCTAAAGTTCAACAGATATAATCAACATTTCGTAATATGTTTTTGAAAATCAGATTGCGAAACTAAAAATTCTGATCATTAATATGAATCATGCTGATTCCAAAGTCGGCACATCAGCACACTAAAAATTCACATCAGAGCCTTCTCCAGACAATTCTAGTATTAGTAGGCGAGAAAAAATCAACCCCTAGATGAACTTTGTTCTTTGCGCTCAACCATTTTCTTTCGAAAATTGACTAAAACACAGAGCGAACACCAAGAACAAAAGGGTGAAAAAAAGAAATGTTCCATCCGAAAAACCACACACACACAAAAAACGATGAGGGTTTCCGTCCGATTAACCACGGTCAACCACCCACAAAACAATATCGAGGTCACCAAAGTGCGAGACCATCTTATAAAAGTATGTACTCGAATATAACTTTTGGTCTCATCTAATTTTTTAAAATAAAACAAAAGATTGTTGCAGTAGAGTTGGATTTGTAAAATACACTGCAGTGAAGTGAAATCAGATTTTAAATCAAAATCAAAATCAAAACCATGAAAAAAAACTAGAGCGAGGACTGACCTTGACTTAGTTTTTGCACTAGCTGAACCTTTCACTGTTTTTTCATTTTTCGAAAACACAAATCCATACAACACGTTCATTAAAGCCGGAAAATTAATGATAAAAAGTAGGATAAAGCGTATGAAAGGAGATAGAGCACAAGGATGTTTATAGGAGAGGAAAAACCGAATTATGCATATGCATTTCTTGACCGGATTGGAAGCAAAAAAAACACTATAAAATATACAGAACAGGGTGAAATGGATAGGAAAAAGGGAAGAGACCAGTAAAGTATCACAGGAAAAAATCGGATTTTAAATGGAATGGAATGTTTTGGGGTGTGGGGAGATGAAAATTAATAGGAATCCGATATTCTCTTGTTGCTTTTGATATATTAAGAGAGAAAAATGAAGCAGTATATTATTTATTTACATTGTGTTCATATCATGGCGAGAGCTTGGTGATCCTGCAAATTTTGAATTTTAAATCAAATAATGAAGACAGAATTTCAAATAATCCAACTCACTTTGAATTGGAAAAACAGTGGCAAAAGCGGTTGGTGGTTGTTGTGCTGGCATTGGATGAACAATCGATTGAACTGGTTGTGGAGCTGTTGATGTGCTTGGTTGAGGAGCAACAACAGATGTGTTTGGTTTGACTTCATCACCGAGGACTTTGTTGCAGAATGTGTTGATGCGAGAATTGAGAGCCATTTCGAAATTGCGGGTTTCGAGACGGATTGAATCTAATTGTTGTTGGAGCTTCATTACTTCGATAGTCACTAGAAAAAAATGATTGAATATAATTTTTTGGAATTCTATTTGATTTTTCAGAAGTTTATCTTATTTTGAAACACCTCGCCCCTCGGGTTTTTTTTCGCAAAAAACAATGTCTATTAATTTTCTATGCAGAAAACATTTTAGTTTTTGGCCAAATGCTAAATCCAAATTATCATCATCAAAAACAATCACAGATTGAACTATATTGTTAATCTAATCCCTCGATTCATTTTATCATCCAAGAAAATAAAATCCCTCGTTTTGACTCACAATCTTGTTCTCTCTTGCGATAATACGTATTCTTCTTATGAAGTTTCTGAATATGACCGCTCAAACGTTGCGTCTCTTCATACAATTGCGCTTGCTCGGTGAGCTGAACTGGTTGGAAAGCAGCTCCACCCATTGGCGATGGCGCACCTTGGCGAAGTGTTTGTGATGGAGATGTCATTGATCCGCTAAAAAGAGATATTATTGACCTTCAAATATTTGTGATAGATGTTTGGTTTATCAGTTTGTGTGTGTGTTAACAGAGATTTCCAAAAATAAAAATCTAAACTCACTATTTTTCGGCAGCAATAGCTCTCAAAGCACATTTAACACCACTGTCATAATCAACAAAACCATTCAAATATGCTTGTTCCAACGATGCTTGCATTTTCCGATTCTCCTCATTTGTCAAAGAGATGCGTTTTCCAAGGGTGTTTATCAAATGTTCTTGTTCTTGCTCAAGTGCCGATTCATGATCAACTTTTTCAGTTCGAAGACGGAACAATTCTTGTTGAAAATGTTTTTCAGCGCGACGACAATGCTCTTTGAGTCTGTCGATTTCAGCTTGTTTGTCAGCAACAAGCTTCTCAGTTTTGCATTGATCTTGATGTATTTCGGCAATTTTTGCAACATTCGCCATTAAATCGCTGGTCAATGATTCTTCGTCACGATGATATTTCTCAACAAGATACTCTTTGTCTTCCTTGAGTTTTTGAATTCTGGAAAAAATATTATGAATAATTTTTCAGTTAAAATATTTGAAACTCAAAACGATTATCACAGACTGTTTGCAATTAGTAACGAGTTCTTGTAACTCTATGTCACCATACTCCACTCCAGTCTCAAAAAAAAAACCCAAAAAATGGCTCACTTTTTCATCAAAGAATTGGAGATGAATTCTTCTTCTTGCTCCGCCTTTGCATAAATTTGAACAGACGCTGCTCTTAATTGACGATTCGCCTCTTTCAACTCATCAGCTTCGCGCTTCATCGACGCATTGATTTGTTTTTGTTGATAGAATCTGTACATCAAATCAAGCATCTCATATTTAATCTCATTCCTCGAACGATTCGGAATCTCTCTTGGCTCCATTGTCTTTTTAGCAACGCGGAAAACTGTTCCATTAAGTGACGATGGTTCATACCAAGATGGATCTTCATCAGTCAAAAATTTGTAGAATGCTGGATATCTGTTGTGAATCTCAACATCGCGGAGCATATCATCCACACCGTGATGCAAAATAATAGTTCGAACACCATCTAATTCTTCAGCTTCACCAAGATCAACTTCTGAATTACGCGACGAGAACATTGAAACACTCGCTCCAATAGATGAACCAGGGCTGAAATGAAATATACATATATAGAAATAGAAAAATCGAATAAAAAACAAATAAAAAATTATTTTATTACCTTGGTGCAAAAAATTCGAAATCGTTTGATTGGCTACGATTTGTTGACATGGATACATCTAAAAATAAATGAGTCAAAAAGAAAAAATAATATGTATAGAAAGTACCTCTTGAATGTGCATCAACGTGCAATTCTCGTCGAGCATTATTGTCTGGATGATTTCCACGTCTTGGATGATCCATTTTTCTTTTTTGAATCAAAACCTGGAAGAGTTTTATAAGAAGAAAAGCAGAAAGAATAAGAGGAAAATGAGAAACAACATAATGTTTTTTTTCTGCGAAAACAATTGTTGTCACAGGGACACAATAAAACGCGCCAATGATTGACCTGTTTGCGCAAAGAGAGATAGGTTGAAATAGTGTGCGTTTGAAAGAGAAGAAAAAGAGATAGAGAGAAGATGGGGCGAACTTACATTGTTTAGAGTTTTGAAACTCATTGCATATGGCCGTTTGAACGAATTTCGTGGAATTTTGAATGTTTATATAAAACAGACGAAGACAAAAAGAAGAGAATAAAATCTCTAGCTTATTTTTTAATGAATGAACGAACGAATGAGCCAACACACAAAAAGCACTTACAAAAAACGCCTCCGTCATAAAGAAAACAGCCCAAAAAATCAATTCGAATTTGAAATGGGTGTATAATTTGTCCCATCAAATTTTTGTATGACGGGAAAAAATCATTTCTATTTTCATGTGTTTGTGAATGCTTTTTTTTTATTTTGAAAATGGATGGATTCTGGGTACCATTAAACACACAAAAAACAAAATGAGATACTGTAAATTGAATGGGATAAAAGCTTTTTTGGCGGGGGAGTTTTGTGATGAAAAACATCTGGGCTTCGGGTTGAATCAGATGACCTTTTATGTTTGTGTGTCGATGTGGTGGAAAACATTATTGAATGTGGAATTTGATTTTTGGGGATATATTGAATTACAATTTTGTTGGTTCCCTATGAAAATGTGATTTGATTTATGTCGCATTGTGAAAGGATTCTGGAATGCTCAAAAGGTCATTTTTTGAAAGGGAAGTATGAGGTTTTGAAATTTATAAGATGTTTACTGAAATGAAACACAACTCTAAAAATTAAAGATAAAAAGTTCGACCGCTTACAACAATGCAAACTAAATGATATGTTGTTTGTTAGAAAATGAAAATGGAACAAAAAGCAGAAATTGAAAAAAAAAATTGATGGGAACCGGTTTTCTGAATCAGCAATTTCTGAAATATCAAGCTGGAATATTTGTTTGGTTTTTCTTTCATAAAACAATTAGTGCCATCTATAAGTTGAAAATTATTTATAGAAATTATAAATATCATCTAATCGCTTACTAAATTTTCAACAATAAAAATAAAACATATTCAAATATTGGGTCAGAAAATTGTTAAATATAATTTCCGAATGAAAAATTGTCAAATAGCAAGGCCACCACGTGGGCCTGGTTTTTCCGAACCACCTGCAGGCCTACATCTGGCTAGTTCAAGGCTAAATCTGAAATTTCTTCTCTAAAATTTGTCTGTTTTCATGGTCTTTTTCAAATGAACATGAAAAAATCAAATTTTCATATCCTCCACATGTTTTTTTTCATCGAGACGCAAAAAATATGAAACAAGATTTGATTTGCAAATTGAACTCTTCTTTTTTTTCTCATGGCTTTAACTTTTGTTGATTTTTTGGCATGTTACGAAAAAGCAAAAACACTTTGTTATATACTTCCAGTTTTTCTTTTATTATATGTTTTGACACCCATCTAATTGTGCTATTGAAAAAAAAAACAAAGTTTTTCCTTCTTTTTTTCAAATCTCACATCTCTTTTTCTTGTATGGATAGATGTAAATAAAAATTTGTAGATAGCGTGTCAAAAGAGCATCCGTTTGGATTTCCTCCGAGTTGCTTTTTTCTGCTGTTTTTCATTTTACTGTGATTTTTTGCAAGTGAATAAAAAATAAAAATGAAACCGCGTGCGATGAATCCTGGATTATGTGTTGAACCAATGATTGCGCCGAGTCAATGGGTTTTCTCACTTTTTGAGATCATTTTATCATCTGGTGGATTGATTTTGAATATTGTGATTACTGTGGTTTCACATAAGGCAATTCCAATGGCTTTTTCACAGAGAAGGATTTTGGTGAGTCAGGAAAAATTGAGAAACTATATTCACAGGTTACCAATTAATTACTGTATTAAAAGCTTATCCTTATGAATCTAAAGTTCAAATTAAAAGCACATGCATTTTTCAATTAAACATATTTACCAAGAATTTAGATTGATTTTAATTTTTTCACTCGTGAAGATTTAATTAAAAAACTAGCGGAAACAAATGAAAAATTCAAAAAATAAAATCTTGACAGGGCCAAGTCAAGATGGATAAACCTTTCAATAGGAATACGAATTTCGAACAAGATCCCCAAACAAAAATAAAGTTCAGAATTTCAATATTAGACACCATAAACCATCCTAATATCATCTAACAACCCCATTTCCCATTTTCCAGGCATCAATATCAATAAATTTTGCACTTCTCTCTGGTTTTCAATTAGCACGTCATTTTTTCCTATTTCTCATTATCAAAAATCCATGCCTCAATCAAGTAACCACTATTTCTTGCAAACTCCAAGAATTTCCATTATTATTTTGTTATATTCATTGTGCAGTAGCGTTTTTGCTGTTAGGTCTTCAAGCAAACTGTTTGAAAATGTGAGTGTGTGGAAACTTTAAGATCAGCTACAAATTTCGATTTTTCAGAAAAGATAAAGATAAACGTCCTATTACTTGGTTCCTTTCTTGTTCCGTTTGGCAATCGACTGTGGCTGCAATCTGTGTTGCGATAACTATGCTTTTTACAGCATTTGATCAAGATCCTGGCAATATTTCAATGGCAAAGGTACTTAATATATTTCTGGATAATTCTAGCTGAAATATTTTTTCAGTGTTCAATTCTTCTTGCTGTCACCCAATCTTACCTCACATTTGGCCTCCTTACACTTCTCATAACTTGTCACTTTTTAGGATTTTTATTTATCACAATTGCAGCTAGACGTCAAGAAGATAAGTGAGTCAATTTTTTTTGTTGATAATAATTTTCTTTTGAATGTGAGTTTTTTTAGGAAAAGTTGGATAACATTCACAGTCATCTCATTAAAAGAAATAATTCAATTTGAAACGATTGCTTGGCAATTTGGATTGTTTATTTCTGGATGTGTTGTAATTTATAAACATGTTCTCAGAGACACCTGTGAGGAAGTGAGTTTTTTTTTCGAAAATTTTCATTTGGAATAGGGAAAATGTAAAATGTGATTTTTAGTGTGCTATTGTGGTTCTGGAAATATCTTTCGTCCTAATCCCACTCATCATTTCATTTGTTCACCCACTCTACTTAATTTGGTAAGTCATGGTCTGGGAATTATAAAATTGAAAGACAAGACAATAAAAAACCATGAATTAGAGAAGAAAAAAAGGAGAGGGTTTGTGGATGATCTCAAGAGAGAAAGGAAAAGGTTTTCAGAAAATTTGATAATAAAATCTGAAAATTTCAATAAACATATGAAAAGTGATAATATTTTCTATAGCTGGAGATTAGCTTATTTATAAACATTTTCAAAATGAAGTTGACATTTTAAAATGATTTAACATCAATTATGAGCAGAACAAATGCCGTCTAAGTTCCGTCCGATTAATTATTACCAAAAGCAAAAAAATTGTCGGAAACTCTCTAAGCGTTTATATAATTTTCGAATAGTTCAGTGATGAGAGGGGGTTTTTGAAGTATTGTTTTCCATACGTAATCAAAATCCAAATTCCAAAGATAATATTCAAAATGTTCTATATTTCCAGGTACGTTCTACCAATTCGAGATGCAGCAACTCGTACTTTTCCTTGCATTTTGACTGTTCTCCCAGAATATTCATTAGTTCCACCAACACTTCCATCAGCCAGCACTTCTGCAAGTAAGACCTCTTCTCCTCGCATTTTTCCCCAGAATATCATGATTCTTTTCCAGCCTTCCCTCTTCAAAGTCCTCGCACAGAAACCACAGTAAGTAGCGATTTCGAAATGCGAACCAATCAAAAACCATTAGAAAAACCAAGAGTAGTTGTAGATGATATCGAATGGTCAAATGAATAACAAACATTTTTTATTCACAGTTTTTATGCGGTCTTTCATAATAAATTGGAATGGTATTTGAATGTCATTTTTCAACAATTCGGAAAAATGAGAAAACCGGGGGTTGTTAGGGGACGGATTAATTGACAAAAAAATATTTTTTCGTTTTTTTTTGAACTGAAACTACGGACCAATATGGTTGATAAATATGTAGAATGGGATTTTCGGTTCATATGAGAGAAACATTGTGTAAAAATAATTAGGATATATACAGGGGCAAACTACATTTGTAGAAGCAAAAAAAAAAAGATATTTAAAGGAACATGGTAAAATATTTAGGTGAATCTATCTTTTGTGAGATGCCTTTCCAAAGCTCGCTCTTCATGTGGCAGTAATTCAAGTATCCTTCCAATATTGTAAATGTTTGCCAATTGCATGTAACGATCACTAAAAAAAATTAAGAGATTTTTTGAGAAATGTTTTGAATTTAGAATTTACCTCAAAATAAAGCTCATAATTGTGTCTTTAGCCTCTTGGTCCAAACCATGTTGGAATGATTCAGAGCTGCTTCCAGCACTTGGAATTTCAGCGGCAAGAGCAGCAGCGCGACTTCCTGGAAATATATGGGAAATTTTTATCAAGATGAAGATTATTAACAAAATTCTAAAACATTTCAGAAAACTTCATGACTTCCAAAAAACCCACCTCCAAATGGTTTCTTGATTCCAGTTGGTGACTTTCGTTGGCTGTTAATAAGCTGATTCTGTTTGCAAATCAACATATCCCTCTCTCTTACATCATTTTCCAAAACAACAATTTTCTTTTCAAAAGCATCAGCAAGTTTTGACATGCTTGTATTATTCAAGATCATTTTCTGTTTATTGAGTTCCCTCTGAAGATCTTCAATCTCAACTGATAATTGTGCTTTTCCAGCCAAGAATCGTTCATTCTCCTGATTCTTGATTTTATTCAACGTCGCCTCTTCCACAGCTTTATCTTTTAATTTTGTCATTTCTGACAATTTTTTCATCAATCCATCGACTTCTTCACGCAACTCTTCAATCACTTCTTTTTGTCTGTTTGCAATATTTTTCTGCGAATCCATATCCAAACTTCTCTGTTGTTCCAATGATTGAAATGTCGCAACCTTTTCTTTGAATCCAGCCAATTCTTCATCCTTTTTCATAACAACTTCACAAAGTTCATCAATTTCCGATGTCATTTCAGTGTATTGCTGAAAAATAATGAATGTCATTTCCGGGTGGTCTTTCGGGCGCCACATGATAAGCATATAATTTGATTAATTTTTTCAAGGTTGCCGTTCTTCCATGAGACGGTTTTGGGGGGAGCGGGGGAGATAGCAACTAATATGATTATAGAAATGTATAGTTTTTGTTATGTATACAAAAAAATACATAGAAAAAAGAAAAAACTAACCTGTTCGGCTTCAACTTCAATCTCATCAATTGTATGATTTGCTTCTTTCAAAAGTTTTTGGACATTGGCAAGCTCCTTCGCCAATTCTTCATTTTCAAATCGTAATCGATCATTCTCCAATTTCAAATTCTCCATCTTGAAATCCTCTCCAAGATTATTAACCTGCAAAAATACCATCTGGTTTCATTTGATTTGAACAACTAAAGCAGGTGTAAACCATGATAAAATAGGTCAACCTAGGTGTAATTATGTCAATTTCAAAAGTTTTCGGTTGCATAATTTTTGATGATTGAAATAAAATAAAAACACACACACACAATTTCTAGAAAAAAAACGATGAAAGTCGTAAAATTTTGATAAGGACACACCCGTTTGGGAAATAAAATAATAAATTGTGAAATATGTAGAAAAATGGGGAGGTCGATTCCAGACTTTTTATGGTTTTTATATTTAGAGTACTGGTTTTTGGTAGGAAAAATTGATAAGTTTGTTTGTTTTTCACATACACGTTTTTTTGAACTATGACAATAGTTCAGAAAATTTTGATGAAAAAAATGTTCAATTTAAAATTCAGAATTCTGCCTGCTTCTGCAGTTAATTAATAAATAAAGAATAAAAAACTCAAATTGAAAAAGTGTGAAAATGAAAAATGAAAAAATGGGCGGAGTTATTATGAAATAGGAGCAGATGGTGAACAGAATGACAAATTCGAAAAGGTTTGTAAAAGTTCTGATGCCAAAACGAATACATGAATAAATCAAAAAACTTTGTGGGTGGTCTATTTTTAAATCCAAGAAATTCATCACTTTTTCGATGGAAGTCAGGAAAAATGAGCCTTATTTGTTGATGAAGGATGTGAGAAAATGAGAAAGCTGGGGAGATCCAAAAAAGGAAGATTTGTGTGAACGAGGGCGGGCTGTTTGAAATCCATTACTCGTATAGAAAGTCATTTTCAGAATCCTAATGGGTCTTCTGACTAAAAAAATGTGGGCTGAAATGGGCAGGCTCATATTTTTTTAGAATCCATTACCATTATTTTCTAGATGCTATGAGAATAAAAATCAGAAAGCTCTTACGGAATCCTAATGGTTTTTCTGACTAAAAAAATTTGTAATGAACATCGTGGGTGGTCCAATTTTTTAAAAGCCAATTTGGTCCGATTGCTTTCAGTATTATCTGGATGTTCTTTTAAATCTGAAACATAGCTCTCTCTAGACCTAACTCATATGGAACAAAAAAAAACGGCGGTGTGAAAAAAAGAAATTCGAGATGGGCGGGGCTTATCGAAACACTCGTGAGTTGTTAAAAAACCGACCAGATGGAAATTCAAATTCAAATTCAAATTTGTTTTTTTTATTGAAAACAAATCATAGTTCTTTGGACTTGTAATCCACATAAATATTATTTTTCATGGAAAAAGTAACAAGTTTGTGGGTGGACCTTTATATGTCTCGTGGGTTGTCTCATTTTACACCAAACCTCAAATTACCACCACATTTTTTGAGTATGGGACTAAAAATAGATTAGCACGAGTTGTTTCGAAAAGGGATTTGACCTCTAGCATCTGCTAGTCATAAAATGACAAATTCTTGCAAAAAGAACAAAAAACTACGAATAGTATTATGAATAACCAAAAAGTTTGTGTTTAGTTCCGTATAACTAATAAAATATTACAAAAGCAAAGAAAAGCGCGTGTATGTATGGAAAAAAAGAGTATTGAAGAGATGGGGAGAGAAGAATCATAAGCGCATTTGGAACACAAACAAAAATATAAATAAAATAAAATTCAAAGGCAAGCCACAAATATAGTTTTTTTGATGTTATTGTTGTCAAGAACAACGGGGCCCACTTCACAACGAAAAATACTAAAAGACGAACTGAATTCAGTTTGCCTATAAAAACTCATGAATAAATCATCTGAAAGTGTCTTCTAATAATGCATCTATCATCATCATCATATAAAGAAAGATACATACAGCGAATTTACAGCAAAAAACATTGAATGAAAGAGAAAATATTCTTTCTGCCCTTTGTTTCTTTTTTCTTTTCTGCAGTCAGTTGGAAAAATACGAAGAAAAAAGAAGATGTTGGCGGTTTCGTCAAAAAAAAAACCAAACCAAACTAAAATGATACACTTTTTGACAAGTTTTTTATGTTAACGGTTATAGTTTTTGACAGATTTTTGGATACGGTAAGATTTATTGGTTGCGTGGGAAAAATATATGTGTGGTTATTCTTTGGAAAACAGGTGGAATTCATTAACGTCATGTGAAATCAGAAATGATTTTAGATAAGGTTTTTTGGTTCTATGTGATCTACATCACCATAAAGAGCAGCCTAAAGAAGCCCTAAAGCCTAGGTACCCGCGAACCAAAAAATTGCACTATTTCAAAAATGATGCAGATAAACTATTACATAAAAATTTGAATCATACTGGTTTTGAAATTCATACAATAATCCAAAAATTATTAGTTTTTTGTTGCAAAAAATATGACCACATTGACCAAACCAAAGGATTTGTGTTTGAAAAATTTGCCATTTCTATCGGAATAATGTGATTCATGTCTATGAAAATATCTTGGCCCAATACAAAATTAGCATAATTTTTTCTTCTTTTTTTTCCTTTCATATATATGTTGAAACTATAGTCTAGTTTCTGACAAAACTTATTAGGTTCATTTATTTTCAGTTAATTAAAAAGGTCATCTCGAATTTCCGCCTTGTGATTTCGAACAACAAGCATCTGGTTAACCAAAATAAACATTTTGTGCAAGTAATTCACATGATTTTTCCGTACACAATTTCAAGATAAACAAAAACCGCAGATGTTCTTTGATAGAAAAAAGAACAGAATCAAAAGCGCAAAATCTATAGAAAAAAAGAATAATGGAATCGTTCCAACAAATCACGCGGCAGTTCATCATTGTTTACAGAAAAACATAGAGTCGGCTTAAAATTGGAGTCAAATTGTAATGAAACAAAAAAACTTTGTTTACATATAAATAAGTACCGAATTGAATCGAATCGAACATTTGATTTTTTGTTTGAAAGAAAACCTAAATTAGGCTTATTGTGTATTATTTGGGAGAAGATAGGAAGATCAAAGAATTGTTCTTGTTTAATTGCTCTCGCGTCAGAACACAAACATTATTTTTTCAATGCGGAAAGGGGTTGTGAATTTTAAAAGTGAATCATGAATTTTGAAAATTTTAGAAAATTAAAATCAAGTCATGTCTCAAATAAAGCTCTGAAATGTTTCATATCATAAAAACTTTTTTTGGTTCACAGCAATTCAAACTAGACTCATTTTTCATTTGAATATTATGGAAAAAATAAGAATTGGGCAAAATGAGTCAAAATTTTCATACAAAAATATTTTTCGAAAATTGCGGAACTAATCCGAAATAATCACGGTCTTTTTTTTTGAAATTTCAAAATCAATGAAATAGTTTTTTTTTTCAAATAAGTAATGTGAAGAAAACTGAATTGGAAGATATTAGATCGATACTTTCGATTCAAAAAATGTTTATAAAAATAATTTAGGAGAACTGTCTTCTAATCCTATTAAATTATCGAAAATTGATTTTTTTTCTCGTAAATTTACCTATACAAAAAACATCTCACACCGAAAATGAATAACCATGCAACCAATTTAATTTTAAAAATCAAAAATATAAAGAACTTCAAATGAAAAAAACGCACCTGTATAATCTTATCCTCCATTTTCGAAATACAACAATTCACTGTCTCAGTCTTGTTGTTTTGTCGTTGTCTCTCAATTCGTTCTACTCCATCTTCTTCTACCATTTCGACATTTCCATCCTCTTCTTCTTTTTTTCTTCCTGTATTATACAAAGTGACCGTGAGTCATGTAATTACTTTAGGCGTTTCCTCCCTCTCTCCCACTTCTTTTTGTTTATCACTTTACTAATATCAATTGGAAAAAAGGTCAAGATTTTTGTTTTTATAAAATTAGGTAGATGAGTGAATGAGGAAATTGACGATTCTTACCAAAAATTGTTTAACAAACTGCAAAACATTTTAGCTCTAGCTCAATATTTTTCAAAATTATATAAAGTTTCTTTTTAAATTCCCATTATTATAATTTTCTCAATTATTTCAATTGCCGCGTGATTTCTATTTCTATTTTTATCTTCCCATTTTTATTCAAATAAAAATTATGTGCTTCTAGGAAACAGTTCCAGCCCTATATCCATAAAATATACATATTCTGCAATGCTCATTAATTTTTTCATAAACCCATAAATGCTTTTTTTCAGATTCTATTTTTATTTTGGGCTTTTCTTTCAATTTGGAAATATTGAAAAATCATGGGACCCGAGATCATTCACGTCGGAATTTGGTTTCAGGTGTTTTATTCAGTTTAGAAGCCTCCCATCACAATAGTTCCCATAGGAAAAATTATATTTATTTTGTATTTTGTCACGAGATGGCATAATTTGAACATTTGATAACTTTTTTGTTAAAAAAATCATGAAAATGGGGACCGAAAATTGACATAATTTGAGAATTACAATAACTTTCAGAAGCAGTGAGTTTATCTAAATTGTTTTGAAATAAAAAAAAACATTTTATTAGTTTTTTTTCACAATCTGAAAATTCAAAAATAATAAAAAAAATTTTCAATGCTTTTCATAAATTCTCAAATTCCGAAAATTTTAACCTATTTTCCTACAAAACGCAACAAAAGAATAAATCTCCCCTTTAAAAATCATCCATAACTTTTCTAGTTTTTTTTTCTATGAAAACCAATGTCCCCCATAAATCGCCGCGCGATTTTCCTCTCAACAACAGAAAAAAAATCAAACCAGACCCATAAAAAAGTTAAACAATGTTTACTTATCCATTGATGTTTGAACGATTATCATTATTCGTTTGGTTTTTTCGTATTCTAAACTGACACACCCAAAAAAAAAACTTACCCGAATTCATTAATTGCTGCAAAAATTTGTTCAAATTCATCTGAAACTTCTTGCAAATCATTGGAAATATCAACATCTTCAGGTTCCTCGAAAATCGTTGGATAAGTTTGCTTTTGGCTGAAAATTGATACAATTTCAGCTTCTTCATCATTTTCAGCCTCATCTTCTTCCTCTTCTGAACTTGAACTATTTAGAAAATGTGAACATCCAACTGGTGTTATAATACTTCTTGGTCGAAATTGTGCCACTTTTTGTAGTTGTTGTTCGGTTTTCTCATTTTGCACAATTTTCAGCAAAATATCTTCGAGAATTTCCTCAACAATTTCTTCGTCATTTCTCAAAAAAAGATCATTGATTGGTGTTTCGACGCGAATTATTGGTGTTAATTCTCGAGAATCGAATTCTTTCGGCTCTTCGTCGGAATGTGTTGTAACGATGTCGATTTGCATTTCGGCAAGTGAGGTAAAACTTCCAGCAAGTGGTGTGGCGTAATCTTCCCAATCTGAACTTTCCGGACTCTGAAAACCCAATTATTGGTTGAAGAAAAGAAGAGAGAAAAATCTGGTTACTTTTAGAACTTTCAGTTTTTTTCAGAAAAAAAGAAAATTAGATTTGTACTGACTAGAAAATCAAGTTATCTCAATTCCTTCTCAAATTTAAAGAAAAATTAGAGAAAAAAATTTTAGAAAATGAAAAAAGTTTCGAACAATTTATAGAAAAAGTTTGTTGGAAAAAATGAAAAGAATGAAATTTTTATTGACATTTGTACTTTTTGTGATGTCATGGCTTCCTACTGAATTTTTTGATTGAAAAAGATGTTTTGAATTCCGAAAATTTGAGTATTTACATACAATGAAGATAAAAATGAGTTGATTGATCAAATTAAAAATTTTATGCGTTCAATTCAATCTTTGAAAACTGAATTTTGTATTCTTTTTCTTTCAGAAAATTAAAATTAGTTAAAATGTTCCCATTAACTTTCTAAGCAACCAGAAATCATATCATTCTTCAAACCTACAAAAAAATGAACCAGAAAATTTGGAAGAAAATGTTGAGTAAGTTTAATAATAAAAGGGTGTGGTTTTTATCGGATTCAAACTAAGGTCATCTAAAATGTTTCTAAAAAAGTTTCTAACCGCAAAAAAAATAAAGTAGTTCATTTTATTTTCTGAAATTTTTTGTTAAATTGAAAAATCAGTACCAAGACGAAAATATTCGGAGAAATTTCGGGGAAACTTTTAACAATAAAAAACTACAACTATACAAACCTTGAAATCATCATAATTGTTCAACGAAAGTGATTCATACGATGACTGATGTTCTGAATCCATAATTTCTGCAAGAAAAACGAAAACGTCCAAAAATATGTTAAGGTGTAAGAAAACGATAAGAAAAATTTAAGGGTTTAGGGAAAAAAATCATTTTGTTGATAGGAGGTTTATGAGGTCTTTTTTTTTTTGGTCTTCTAAAAAATGAAATGATAAATAAAAAATTCAAGATTTTTATCAAGAAAAAAACGAGACTTAATTAATTGATTGGATTATTTTGGGGTAATTGGAGGAAAAACACAAAAAAACTGGATAGATTTAGAAATTTTGATGCAAAGAAGGTATAATATATGAATAAACACATTACTCGAAAACAGGAAAAATGGGCGTTTTCCAAACTAATGGGTATACATACTTTTTGAATACAATTTTGGGCGAATTGTAAGACAGCATGCCGTGAATTTTCAATAAGTAGCTCAGTAAGTTATCTTAGGTCCCCACTTGGGTGCCCAAAAGATTCACCCAAAATTTGAATCTTTTTGCTAAGTAAATGATAAAAACATCAAAAACAATTCAAACTTCAAGAAAATGAAAAAAAGTGCAATACAGAACAGGAAATTAGGGCAATATTTGCAAAAGGCTAAACATACAAAACATTTTACAACAATTTTGTGAAAAAAATGAAGTAGGCGGTCGAGAAAAAAGAAGAAAAAAGGCTAATCATAATAACTATGGCTAAATGATGAAGAATGAATACATTGGAAAAATGATAAGATCTAGGCGGATCAGTATATCTTTTTCTCTTCTTCTTCCTTTTTCTGGCCTTGTTTTATCACCTTTTATTCTATGATTGATCATTCTGGTTGGCTTGAGGGAGGAAAAGATATAGATTTATGAATATGAATATGAATCAAGAAATATGTTAGGTTTTTTGTAATTCTGAGGGTGTTGCAAGTGGAACTGCAAGCTAATAATATTTTTAGAACCTGCGAAATTGAGAAAATGCAAAAATATAGATTCAGTATAGCTACACAAAAATAGTTTGCAAAATATTCAGAAAAGCATCTCAGGTTTTGAGAAACCTTTTTGGGGCATATGAAAGTTTCAACTCCCCTTTTTGACTACACATTTTGTAGTTTATAAGCTGCAAGTTTTCCGAGTTTCTGGTTTTTCTAGAATTCTATAAAAAATGATTTAGAAAACAATTTTCTGAAATTGTCTGAAAATTGTTATTATCTTTAAAGATGCAGAACTTTTCTAATTGAAGATTTCAAAACAAAAAGACATTAGATAAAGAACACAACAACATTTTTCATTTTGAAATTCTATTTCAATATCAACATTGAAAAATTTCTCAAGTGGTTTCAGCCAAATATTGCAGTCCGCCCACGGTTTTTTGTCTTTCTCACAAAAAAACAGAAAAATCGTACAAAAACTATATCGTTCAATTCAAATAAAACGATTTGTTTGTTAGAAAACAAAACAAAACTATCGTGGAAAAAATGCCACTTTATTTTACGAAACTTATGTGAAAGAAACTTCCGCCCAAAAAGTAACCAAAGCAATCCAAATCAATACCATAGTCAAGTCAATCAGTTTTTGATTTATTACCCTAATTTGATCAGTCTTTTTGCAAATCTGTCTACAAAAGAAAGATGAAATAAAAAAAGTGCAGTAATTGTTAACACAATCAATGAGTAAACAAATACTTGTGAGTTTTTTGTTCAAGCAAAAAAAATAGTTTTATGAAAAATACAATACGAATGTATATACAAAAATTTTGAAAGAGCAAAAAATATTGAAGAAAAAATTTTAATGCACAAGTTTCAAATTTCGTCGTCGATTCAATTTTCTGACAAAAGTTGAAAGCTCTTTTTTGACCTCAATTGGAACTGTAAGTTGTTCTCCGGGATCTCGAGCTGTAGAAAAAAACGTGTGAAAATGAATATGAAACAATTCAAAAAGGATTACCTTTCAAACTACTCATTTTGCGCAATGTTTGTTTTGCGTCGAATGAAAGTCCGCGCATTTCTTGTTCACGGGCCTGAGAAAAATGAAACGATTTATTTATTGAATTTGGATTGGATAGGACTGGTATTTCGATGGTGAACTTTATATGGGAAAATCAAAATATTGTTGTGGCTTGGTTTTTCTTATGTTTACTCTCGTGACAAAGAATGTTAGAGAGGCACTGTTTTTGTATTGAAAAAACAATTTCAAAACATAAAATATTGGAATAGAATATGAATTTCAAAAAAAAATTGGTGATAGTTTTTTGAAAACTGATTTCTGAACTTCTTTTATTTTCGAAACGATTTCATTTTTTTCTAACCGCAAAAAAAATGATAACTTACCTTGAGAACTCTCCTTCTTTTTGTAGCCCATCGATTATATTCGGATAACTGTTTTCCGGTCAACAATGATACCGCTAATGTTTGAATCTAAAAAAATTCCAATGCTCTTGTTTTTTCCATCTAAAAATAATGTTATTTTTACCTTCAAACTTCTCAAGGATTCACTAGGAATATTATCATCGTTCCAAACTTTTTCAAACTCTCGTCGAACTGAATTGCTAACAGTTCGAAGAAACGGTGCTTTTACATGATCAAATTGCATCATTGCAACATCATCAAATGTTGTCTGAAAAATTAGCACTTCAAAAAAAACTTATGTACTAAATTAGTCAAAACCTGATCAATATAATCATCTCCAATACTCAAATCGGACACACTTCTTTGAACATTATTGATTGAATTTGGTGCGGGTGATAATAATGGAATTGGTGTCCCACCATTCGACTGGAAAAATATCTGTAATTTATCAGAAGTTAGTTAATTGAACTCACAGCAATCTGATCATAATCTTCTTCTCTTCGAATTTTTGTTGAGACAACTTCTTGTTTTTTAGGGGAGCTGTTATTGGAGGCATCTGTAATAATTATTTCCGATAAGCGCATAACTTTCAAAGACTTACCTGAATCAAAAGTTTTGATAACATCTAAAATATCTTTCTCAATATCCAGCTCTCTTTGACACACAGTTCCAGGCACATAATTTCTCCTGAAATTAAATAACTTTGTTCTAATCCTCTAATGTTTTCTACCAACCAAATCTCCTTTATTTCTTCCCGTGCAAAGTCTGGAAATTCTGCCAAATTTGGAGGTATGCCACAATCACGTGCCTGAAAATGGTTTAATTGCCTGGAAAATGAAGTAGAGAGATCATTTTTCGATTTTTCTCATAAATTTTAATTGAATCGTCTTAATTACGAGAACTTGTTTGTGATAAGGGAAACATGTGATGGTTCTGATGTTGGGTCAGGTTGAAATTTTTATCAGAAACTAGAGGTAAGGTAGTTTGGTTTAGAACATTGGACTATAAGAATTAAAAACAATTACGGAAAATATTTTTGATCTTGATATCTCTAGGAAATTTTTGGAAGATTATTTTTATAGTCAGCAAATTATTTTCAGATTTTCAGTGTTGAAAAAAATCAGAACTTCTGAAATTACTTATTCTAACTATTGAACATTTATGAATGTTAAAATTAAAACCTATGACCTAAAGCCCTGGGCTCAAGAACAAGGCCTAGGAGTCTAGGGTTACTGATTACACCCACAAGCTGAAAACCATTACCATATAAGATTTTTTTTCAGAAAATAAATTTCTTCTTGAACTTTGTTTTCAAAACTACCTGCGATCTTTCCAGTAATATAAAAAGTGAGACGATGATCCATCGAATCATCTGATCTGAATTTGTAATTCGTAATTTCGATATCTGAAAAAATTAAGAACATATAAAATAATATTGTTTTCATGATCCTTCAACATTATATACATAAAAAACAAGACAATAAATAAGAGTTTATACATTTGAAGTGGGAATATATGAACAGGTAGGTAAAGACCACATAGCAAGAAAAAATGAAACAAAACTTCTTATTCTTCATCTTTTTTTTCTGTGAAGATTGAAGAAAGAAGAGAACTAGTTAGAAATACTAGACATTTTTCATCAGTTGGGGAATAAAAAGTATCTGCCTTCTTTTTCTTGGCATCCAAAATCACTACAAAACATCAAGGACAGGAAGAAGCACGCCAATGGCAAAATGTTTTGAAATACAGGCAAAAAAAGAGGGAAAGTGGTGAAAGTGACGAATCTCGTAATTGGTCGAAAAAAAGACTTTCAAGTTTTCGAGATGACATAATGTGTAATTGTATAAATACAATGTGTTCAGTTTCTTTTTTAGCTTGGCGCAAAAAAGATGAAAAAAATTGCCGATTTAGCATAACATGACCTTGGTTGGTATAAGTGCTGTAAATTGCGGTAATTTGTCAAATGAGATTATTCAGAAGCGTAAAAAATTGGGATTTATGAATTAGACGAGATGTGAGAAGGAATGTTGCTTTTTAAAGGTTAAATTGGAACCTTGATCGGTTGAAAACAAATCAAGTTGTCTTATGATTGAAACTATTATGTATTATTTCTGTAAACAAGGTTGTTCTGATGGTAAGATCTGGAAAGCGTGTGTAAGAAAAATGTGATTTCTGTCTATTTGTGTAGTTGGATCACAGTTTCCATAGTTTCAGAATAGAAAAGCAACTAAAAAAGGTACATATTTTGTTAGGAAAATTTTTGGGTTGAAATTTTGCAATCTGGACAGAATATTTCATCTGCGAATATTTGGAGAGAAAAAATGTTAATCTCATACATATGGTTTTGAAAACCCTGTTCTCAACCCAAATTTTTCCAGAAGTAAGACTACCCAATCAAATTTGAGATTTACATGTTATAATTGGACACGTTTTTGACTTTCCCGGAAAATTTAATTTATAAAGAAACAATTTTTGAGCTTTACCTTTATTGAGAAAAATGTGAATGAATAAATGTCAGATAAAACGTTTTTTCAAAACTTGGATTTTGTAATTTAAGCTCTGTCTAATTGCATTTCAAGTCTCTTCTCTTTTGAGTTTTTCTATAATTTTCGTCCTTCATTTTCTATGCATCAAAGTATCAAAGTATAAGAAAAAATTTTTGTTCCCAAACTTTTTTTGCTTCTCACAACTATTTTCTACCAAACAAAGCGCCTACCATTTTTTCACAACTTTCTCTCATAAAATGATACATTTGTATCCAAATAATGTATGTACTACAAAAATAACAAAAAAAAACTCTTGTTTCCCATATTAAACCTCCATCACGACCTGTGAAAATTTCTTTTTTTCCTTCTTTTTATGTTCCTAAACCGACACATTTTTCATAGTTTTTCCATACAGTTCTATGCGAATTTCTTTGTCATAATCGGATTGCTGTTTTTTTCTCTCCAACAATTTTGTGACACATTGCTCGAAAACTCAACACATTTTCACATTTATAATTAATATGTAAATTCGAGTTGCCAAAATTTTTAATTTATGCGTATAGAATTAGATTCGTCTCAAATTCACTCCTTTCCCAAAAAAAAACAAAATATCGAATTTCGTCTCTTCATGTGAAAATCTAAAAAAAAACAGATTCAATCTTTCTGTCATTTCATTAGTTTAGTAGATTCACATCTGACATCACATAAGTGTTTATTGACTACAAATTTGTGTGTTTTTTCTGCATTTTCTTTTGCTTTCCTTAAGATGTTTTTCCTCGCAAATGTGTTTTGTTTCATGTTATGTTTGTGTTTTTTCATTATTTATATTCTATTATCAAACAAAAATTATTCTTATCTTTTTCTCTGCATTCGTTATTTTTTCAAACAACACTTCGCTTGCCTATTGTTTAGCGAGCAGAACAGGTGTAGAAAGCATCATTTTTGTGCGAGAAAAACGCCAATTAGCGTGGTGTGCACTATTTTTCTCTCTTTTTTCTTTCAAAATCCATTTTTTCGTTAATCAATTAGTGATTGAAAATGAGTAAAAAAGATTTTTGTGTTGTGCAAACATCACACTTGACGAGCAGGTGTACCTATTGTTTTTCTCCTTATTCACTCTCAAAAAACATTGATGCTCACTCACTCTACAAAGTAAACATACATACTATACTAAAGTTTGTCTAACTGATTAACATATATTTATTTTTATATATTTTCATTTTAGTTCAAAAACTTCACCTTTTCTTTGTAGAAAAATATTAAATCCAAGTTTTTTTTTTAGTTAGCTCATCTCTCCTCTTCGCTCACTTTCTTTTATTTATTTTTTCTTTCATTCATTCACTCAAACAATAATAAAATAAGGAAATGATGTTCTGTGAGTGCGTTGCGTACGCGCGTCGCGCACATCTGTCCCTGCCACAATTGTGCTTATGTTAGTTGTTGTTTGAAAATATTAGGTCACACAAACTCAAGGTTGTTCTTTTTTCTTATTATCGCTCGCTTTTTGTTGCCATTTGGCTGTTTATTGATTGAATTGGATTGAATTGTTTTATTTTTTCAGAGAGACAAATCAAACAACATCCTGTTCTACAGTTTTCATCAAATCAACCAAAGAATGTGAGTTTTTATTTCTTTTTGGGAAAAAAGTTGAACAAACAAAAATATAAGAAATATTGATCGAAAATTGTTACGATTAGATTTTACATGTGATTTGAGATATAAAACTAGATGGAGATTGCCGAAGAAGAAGACTTCAAGTTCAAAATGAATTTTGGAAAATCAGAACTTTTTCGTTTGAAAGTTGTTTTAGTTTTTTTTCTAAATATTGACTGTTCGGATGATTTATGATCAAAAAATCAGAACTTCTTTGAAATTGAAAATTAGATAACTAATTTGATCAATTTCCTGAATGTCAAAAAACATTCGTCACATTTTCAGACGTCGGTTTTCATGATATAGTTGAAAAAAAAATGATAAGATTTCGAAAACATTTGATTTCTGTTTTCAATGAAAAAAACACGACAGTCTTTTTTTCATAGAGCTCGAAGATGATTTGCTATTTTTAACCACTCATTTTCAATCACATGATATGATTCAAAATCCGGAAACAATCTTTTCGATTAATCGTTAAATTTCCTGAATCTATGAAATTATCATAACATATTTTATGCTGAAATATTGCATCAGAAGAATTTTTTATGATAGTCCACTAATGCAAATATTTCTTGTTCTTGAATTAGTAAATTTCTTTTGAATAACTTGATTGTGAGATTTCTGAAACTTCGACTGTAAATTTTAAACTGTAAATAAGTCGGAAGTTATGTTTATTTTTTTTGAGCCATTGAGAGCCATAAATCAATTTTTCTGAATGATGAGAAACCCCAAATTTGGAGAATTATTCTATGTTTCCATAGAGAACTCATAAACATCACGATATCTCAATGATAAAATTTTTTCCATTCCAATGAGTTGGTCTAATTTTTAAATTTTTGCCTTATAATAGTCAATTTTTAAATATAACAGATACGACCCATTATATGTTTTACTAGATGATGGTGAAATCCATTTTGACAGTTTTTATGACGCTTGAGAGCTCTGAAAATGTGAAATCCGCATTTTAATGTTTTATTGAGAATATGACGCTATAAAAACCGTGGGTGTTCGGAATGAGCTAATTACAAAATTATTGACTACATTCGGATACCATTTTGATGCCGTTTCAAAGCTCCGAAAATGTGAAATCCATGTTTAATGTTTTTTTGAGAATATGATGTTTTAAAAATTATAGAAGTTCATGAGCTCATTACAAACATCTTTTACCAGAAACCTTTAAGATTGTTGTTGTTACGCCATGATAACTATGCTAAATAAAAAACGAGAACAGGCTTCCATCAATATTATTTTGTGCCTCCACGTGTCAACCTAATTTTTAGGTCCATAGGTCTATACTATGTCTAATGAGAAATTGGGAGAACCATCTTTATAAATTTTGAAATAGCTGCATGAATTTTTATGATTTATTTCTTCTAAATTTGTTTATAAAACAACAATTCTTGTCGAAACTATACGATTATAATTGCACACGTCTCATATTTTCTCAAGACGAATGTTCTCAAAACATCACAAAAGCTGTATCAATTTTTTTCCCCAAAAAAATTGATTGGCAAAAAAATGAATCATTTTGATGTGTAACACAAAACATACAAAAATAACCAACCATTCTGCTCTTTCCCTATCAAAAGCTCAATACTTTTTTCGATAATAAAAAAATACTAGCAAATAATATTTAGGCTTTTTTTAGACGACAATAAACAATAGAAATAGTATTTTTTATCAGTTCACTTATTTTTATTCGCTTTTTCTATATTTTTTGCACTAATTTTAAGCCCTAAAAAATGTTTTTTTTTTGGAAATGAATCATGTTTTCAGCATCGTTCAACGCCATTCAACAATCCTTCGAATTTTCTCCATCATTCCATCTAACAACTGAAAATTTGTTAGTTTTTTCGGGGAGAGTTTTTTTTCCAAGAAACAAGGTGAAATTGAACATTTCACCTGCCCTTTGGGTATAATATATAAATATAAATATTCAATTCTGTGGAAATTGGAAAATGTGATTAAAATAGGGTGCAAGCGGAAATTGCATGCGGTGGGATTAAATTTGGTTTTATTCATGTCTGTCTACCTTTTTTCTGGTTCATAGATTTTTTCCGATTGTACTTTGCTATTTTTTTGCTATTTCAAATTAATACTGTAAAATCCCGTGAACTTTTTTTAAACCTACTTTTCCAATTTTTTGAGGAAGAATATTTTAGAGAGAACAATAATCGAATGTTGAACAATTTTTCCCCCAAATTATTTTTATTGATTTTCTGATTTTTTTTTT